GAAAGCTGAAAGTGGCATTAGTTGACCATTCAAATAAGGAAAAACAGATGCCAGAAGAGGAGATGGGTGAGTGCTCCAGAGTAGTTAGTGAAAGACTATTTAATCAAAAGCTGGAGCAATTCATTAGTACTAGAATTCAGATTGCTGCACAAACAGAAAGGTGGTTGAGCAATTCAGCATTTGATGCCAAACCACATGGATACCAGCTCACAGGTGCAGGAAATGTCTTATGATCATATAACGAACGCAGCCTTTCAAATGCAAATACTAACATTTTTGTTGTTGCACGCATTCAGCTATAGATAAATGCACACCTGCAGGATCACATGTCCAAGCCCAGAGGTTCTACACTGTTGCCAAACGATGTCTGGGATTCTGATGTTCTCACTCACTATGATTTGTATAAACTTTAACCCAAAATCTCGTCGGTCTGGAGTTCCTGGAATCTGACTTTCATCCCCTCATGTGGATTGCCTTGACAATTGCTATTTTCTATTCAGGGGTGACAACAATGCTGGACGCAGTCAGGCACCCAGCAAATTTGCAGGCCATTTCAAGGGCTTTGACAATACCAGTGTACTAGGCAATCCCATCATCTTTGTCCTGGGGCAGTCATGGAATTTGTATAATAGAAATTCTATTTTATAGCATCTTATATATTACCAGATGATCCATACCATTGTCAGGTCAATTGCAACCGTCCAATGCCAAGTACAAGTGTCTTGGCCCCAAATCAGGTGACAACTTCAGGATTCACCACAAGCAGGTCACTAACCACTGTACAAATTATTACAAAAACATAATATAAAACTGGGATGTGATATGCAATTGTGAAGTGATTCATACTAGAGCCCACCTCCTGAGATCAACTTGAGAGATAGATAGATGATTCCATCTTTCTTTCATCAGTGTAAAGTTGCAGTTCTGCAGTATATAAATCCAAGCAGTATGGTTTCTTAAAAGCTCTTGAGTATCCATAACATTAAAACTAATAGCTAACAGTGCTATGCATGTATTTAGTGGTCCATGTGACAGGAGAGGGGAGAGAATTAGAGGTCGGAAATAAAGCCTATACCCTGCTTCAAATAATAATAATCCTTGCATTTGCATTTGATAAATCACTCGTCAAGTCTAGGTTTACTCTATTTATGTAGCATTTCAGTGTGAACAGAATTGGGCAAATTCTTAAATACAGCCTTAATTTTGTAGCTGTTATTCTCTAAGCGTTAAGAACAGCTATTGCAGTATATTCTGTGAAGTGCTTTGAGATGTCTCAACAATTTGATAAGGTGCTATATCAAATGCAAGGATTATTGATTATTATTATTATTATTATTATGTGAATCTGGATACTGAGTGCTGGCAGGATAGAGGTATCCCAGCCAAGTAATGGGGGGTAAAACGGCTTGAGTGGTGTACCCACCAGGAAAAGCATCAGTGATGCAAACTGAATTTCTACAGGGAACCAATTACCTGCACATCAGGCTGTCTCACAAGGCTCTGCTCTGACCTAAGATCTTAAATTGGTACGATGTGCAGGGGAATCCCTAGAGAAAACAGTTGACGTCACAAGAGTATTTTCTGGTGGTTTCAAGGTTTAAGCACTTTTATAAATCCATTGTCTCAACCAAAGGTTCAGGTGCTTGCACATTACCAAGGAGCAGAGACACTGAATAGTGATAAGGAAGAGAACTGTGGGTTCTGCTATCTCTTGGATCTGAGGCCAAATTCCCATCCTGCTTTAGCTCAGTAAGGGCATGGGATCAACCTCAACAACGTGTATTTATATACAGGGCACTATATAAATGTTCCCCACCTATGGTATCTGAATGGTTTACACCACCACCACATGGTACACTAACTTGTGAATCACTAGGGAGGCTCTCAAATATTTTAAAATTTCACCCACAAAATATACAGTCAATTCACTTTACAGTATATTCTGTGAAATGCTTTGAGATGTCTGAAAGATGTGATAAGGCTTTATAATAATAATAATTGAATTTGATATAAAGCCCTGTATAGTGTAGTCCTGTAGCTCAGTGGTTAGAGCACTCGCTTTGCAAGAGAGAGACCTGGGTTCGATTCCCAGCACATTGAAAGCTTGGGCAAGTTTCCTTACTCCACAAGCCTGATAATAATCCCTCAAGAAAATGAAACAATAAAAAATTGGTCACTTCAAACCATGACTGTTTGTGGGACACTGCTGTGCGCATTTCGCCCTCATATACACAGTCAATTCACTTTACTGTCCATTCTGTGAAGCTCTTTGAGCGGTCTAGAAGACGTGATAAGGCGCTGTATCAAATGTAAATATTATTATTATTATTATCACGTCTTTGAGGCGTCTCAAAGCGCTTCTCAGAATATATACTGTAAAGTGAATCGATTGTATATTTTGTGGGCGAAACTCGGCAGCCAATTGCACACAGCAGTGTCTCACAAACAGTCATGGATTGAGCAACCAAATTATTATTTTTTTGAAGGAATTATTACCCCTGGAAAAGCTATCCACCAATTGACTAACAACCGGGTTCTTACTGCAAGGTAGACAGAGGCGTGTGGAATAAGGAAATTTGCCCAACGTTTTGCCCTCCCGTTAATCGAACTCAGGTCTCTCGCTTACAAGGTTTCTTCGCTTACAAGGGGATAGTATCCTACTATTCCCCTACCTACCTGCCCATACCCTCCGTTCCTCTGGCTCCAGTCTGCTCCACATCCCCCACCCCAACGGGCCTACCATCGGTGGCCGGGCCTTCAGCCTCTCAGCCCCGAGGCTCTGGAACTCCATCGCCCAGTGCCTTCGCCTTGCTTCCTCCCTTTCCTCCTTCAAGGCCGGTCTCAAGACCTTTCTCTTTGACCGTGCCTTCAGCTCCCCTCTCGACTCTCTACCCCCTCCTTGCTCCCTCCCTTCCCCCCCCTCAACCTGACCATTTCCCCCTTGCTTGGGTCCTGACCCAACTGTACAGCGCCTTGGGACGTCCTCCCGACGTGAAAGGTGCTTTATAAATGGAATCTTGTTGTTGTTGTTGTTGAGTGCTTTAACTACTAAACTACAGGACTCCAATTATAATCAAATGCAAGGATAATGATTATTATTATTAATAATGGATCAGCAATTCTGTACAGCTAGAAGGTACATGGTGACTGAATTTCAAAAAATGAAGCGTGGGATGTTACATCTGACATTACTCAATTGGATCAGTGAACTTCACAAGCATCATGATCCTTTGTGCATTATTACATTCCTATTTACTGGACACACCCCAACATGTACTTTACTCTGTGGCATGAAAAGGCAGAACATTTAAGAGGAAACAATACAAAAGCTGGGAATTTAATTTTAGATAATTTGCAACCCATCAAAGTAGCGATAAGTAAGAATTGATGTGACAATCATCTATCAGGAAGAAGGAAACAGCTTAATTACAAATTGGCAATTGAATCATTCAAGTGCCTCCTTCTATCCTGTGGTTTCACCTGAAGGCTGTGTCCTAAGCTTATTAAGTTTTCTATCTTGAGGCCAAAGTGCAATGTTAATTTACTTATCTTAGGTACGAGGGTTCTTATTACTTCATCATATTTTTATATGCAAATGAGGAGACCACCATCAGATTGGAGAAATCACAGAGGCATCTTACTTTCAAGACTTCAACATACAGTAATTCTTCACTGGCTCAGGAAGCAAAGCTGCTGTCTGGGCAAGAGAATCATATAACTTGCAAAATTACCTTTGCAGTTGCCATCCATGCTGAGTTCACTAATCTTAAGTCAAAGTATCACATTGGCCTAGTTCTCTGGACTAGAGAGGGCAAAGTTTAGCCCAGGTTCCCTGATAGCTATCCACTTACATTGGGAAGTGAGCACATAGGGATACTGGGTAAAATGTAGCATTGGAGTTGGCGATGATCAATGCCATAGATCAACATGATACTGATATAAACACATGCTGACACTATATAGGTTCATTCATTCATCAGTTGGGCGAGGTATCAGAGGGTGGGCTGTGCCTGCGGACCATAACTGATCAAAGTCTTTTCAGGAACGGAGGGAAGAAAATTGGAGAAAAAAAAATAGTCAATATCTGCACTTTTGAGATGAGAGGAATTTTCAGCCGGATGTCCCATACATGCTTAAGAGAATTCAAAACAGACAGCCTTCCACATATGATGGCATGTAAAAATTCTTAGTATCTGGAATGGAATGAAAATTCTTAGTATCTGGAATGGAATGGAATCCGCACTCTCTGGAGAGATGCACCCTGCTTACCTGCTTACCTACTACTGGTGCAGATTGGCAAGAATTGAGGCTTGAGGAACCCAGTGGGCATTGGGAATATTGTTAGAGTTTAACCAACGAACTTGCCATTGGGAGCACTGCAATAACCGTATTACTGTATTACAATAATGAAACTACTTGTGACATTTGGACAATATTAACTGCAATGTTAGGTTTGATTCAGTATCAGCACAAGCTACAAATGGTTTAAAAAACAGCCTGCCCAGGGAATATGAAACTCCCTGGAGCTGCTCAAGGTCTAATTGAAATTCAAATAATCAAATATGGAGAAATGGCACTTCTGGCCTTTGGTGTGAAACATATATTTCTATCTGTGAAGAAATTGTATTGCATTTGCCTGAATTTAGTTCCATTCAGAAAATTAAGTTTTCTTTAACTGTTAAGGAATTACCAGCATGACTACTGTTATGTGTTCTATTCAGTTTTTATGGAGTTCCCTGGAAACTCCATTATAATTGCATAAGACCAATATGAAAAATATGTATTGTCAACCTTGAGAATAACTCTCAAAACTGACATTTAAATGAAAAGTTTCACTGACAAAAAAATATAATAGCGAGTTGGTCAGATCTTCAAAGACTTGGCTCAAATATATGAGCCGTAGCAATCATTGGAAGTTGGAAGGAAAGCATTGTTTTCAAATGACTGCACCCTTGAAATAATCAAATGTAATTTGCTAGGATTTGGGTATTTCCATTTACCTTTATTGTTTTTCTCCCTGTTCGTTTTGGAGAAACTTGCCAGTCTTGCTGGGATCTGCTGATGGACTGTGGCAGGTTTTAGAAGCTGATTGGTGGTGCTCACAAGCTGAACGGGAACTTCGTGTTTCTGGTTTTCATCAGTCCTCGTGGCGGAGCTCAAATAGCCGTCCACTTTGGGAGGTTCAGGAAACACCCGCATGTTATTGTTCCTCTGGTGGCTGTTCAGAGAATAGTGAAGCGCAGCCTCATTCACAAAAACTGATGACATATCCAGCCCTTGACCTCCTAAGCTTCCTGTTCGAGTGTGAACTGGGATCTGTAGGTATTAAAAGTATTTAACATGAGTTCAATCAAAGTAACCTGATCAATGCAATACATTTTAGAAACTGAAACATACAAATGTCACATTTGTGTGTCAGCCTGGCTTAGTTGTTGCAGTCTCGTCTCTGAGTCAGAAGGTTGTGGGTTCAAGCCCCAGGTCAGGACTTTCAACTCACTTGGTCTGATTTGATACTCCAATGCAGTGCGGGGTGGGAAGTGGACTCCATTGCTGGAGGTGTTGTACTTCAGTGTCACCTATGAAGCATTAACCTAGGTCCCATCAGCCTGTTCACATGGACATTAAAGATCCCATGGCGCCATTTGAACAGAGTTTCTTCTGGTGTTCATGGCCAACAACAACAACTTGGATTTATATAGCGCCCTCCATGCCGGACGGCGTCTCAGAACGCTTCACAGTAACGGATCCCGGGGCGAGCCAGGGGGAGGGGAGGAAGGTGACCAAAGGCGCGGTCGAAAAGAAAGCTCTTCAGCAGAGACCTGAAAGTAGGAAGAGAAGGGACAAGGCGAAGGGAGTGAGAAAGGGAGTTCCAGAGCCTCGGGGCATAGTGGATGAAGGCACGGCCGCCAAGGGTGGAGAGGAGGACTCGGGCGACAAGGAGGAAGCTAGACCCGGAGGAACGAACAATCTCTGAATAAAATTGGTCACTCACTTCATAGATGGTTGTGGGTCATTGCTAGGTGCAAATTGGCTGTCGCGTTTGTATACAAAATATGCAATCATTACATTTTAGTTATCTTGTGAAATGCTTTGAGACATAATAATAATCCTTGCATTTGACATAGCACTTCTCATTGAAGACGTCACAATCAATTGTGATGGTGGGATATTCGATTGATTTTTTTTTCGTCTAGTATTTCTTATGTTCTTATATGTTTTTTTTAAGCTCTTCTTATTTTGCAGTTTTTCTTTTCCTTATCTGCGACGTGCATGTCCCTGCTTCTTACTCTGCCTTTATGCTTGCGGACATAATTTGCCCTTCCGGGAATCGAACCCAGGTCTCTTGCTTGTGAGGTAAGTGCTCTAACCACTGAGCTATAGGACATCCTTCTGATGTGAAAAATTCCATATCAAATGTGAAGATTATTAATATTATTACTGCATCTCAAATCTCTGCTGAATTGTCATATTGATCCATGGTTAATCCCAGAGTAAAATGGGCAGAAATGAGTTCTAATTAGAGAATGTTTGATATTCAACAAACATCTCAATTTATCGCATATGTGAAAGATTTATAGGTGTGTCACAATAATACTGAGGTTTATCAAAGACATCGCTAAAAATAACAATCTTTTTGTTAGAAACTTACAATGTTTTCCTCAGAGATGCACGCAAGATCAGTTTGGGTGAAGTAAACCCTTCAGTCCATCTGATCTCATCCTTCCAGATTATCCACCCCACTGACTTCCCCATCAAAGCATCAAGCTATTTTTAAAATAAGTCGAGCTCACTGGTCTCCAACACCCTTCCTGGCAATTTGTCGTTAATTACCATCTGGGTGAAGAATAATTTGGGTGTCTATTCTGAAATTGCCCTTTGCAACTCTAAACCTATGACGTCTTGTTCTACTATTTTGGTGCAACCTAAAGTATTGTTCTAGGTTTACTTTTTCAAACCCAAACAATATATACCTATATAAGGTCCCCTCTGAGAAATCTCCTTTCAATACTCAAGAACTCTAGCCACACATATAGAGCTGACAGACAGATGTAGTGTTAGGTACTGTTTTCTAAATACCAGTATAAATGGGTAGTTTATGATTTCCATTCATGACACACACACTCTTGTGGCTATTACGCCATCTCGAAGACTATAATTAGACGTGCCTGTCATCTGATACACAGTGTGTATCACTTCTGCACACTATAATTGCAGAATGTTTGATGTTCTATAAGCATCTCAATTTAGCCCAAATGTGAAAGATTTATAGGTGTGTCACAATAACACTGGGGCTTATCGAAAGACACCGCTAAAAATAGCAATGTTTTTAGTAGAAATTGATAATGTTTTTCCTCAAGGCAACTACTACCACGAACATCTCATCAATTTCCCACCTGACAAGTTTCAGTAGTACATGTGCCTCCTATTTTAATTTCCGATGTGCGATACGCGTCATTTATCTATATTAAACTTTGTTTGAACAAGAAAAATTCTCAGCAAAGACCCCTGAAGCACCTATTCAATATATTCCCACCTCCCAAATTTAGCTGTCCCCTCATGATTACCCTCTGCTTCATTCCTTGCCTTTCACCAGTTACTAATCCAAGTGTCTTACCCTTGATATCCACTGTAAATTTTAAAGACGTTTCTGATGTCATCAAAGGCCTTTTAGAAGGTCCACTATATGATGAGTTTAAATTTTTTTTATTAACGTTGTTATGACAATGTTCATATTGAGAAGAAATTATCCAGGACGATGTCTGACTGGCAAGTGATCAGAACATTAGTGGACCTGCAATCAAGGGCAGAAGTAAAGGAGTAGATATAATAAGAATAATTCTTGCATTTGATTCTTACAGCACTTTTCACTTGTTGAGAGAATACCTCAAAGTGCTTCACAGTAAATTGTCGTACCTATGTATTTTGTGTCATCTCTGTGCATGTGAAAACTCCCCATGTTTGTAGATGTCTTTCAAGAACAAATTAGATAGATAATATCTCAGGATACAATGTATAGTTTGGGAAATGACATGTCATGTGACTGCCAGGGTGGTGGATGGCGAACTGGATGGACATCGGTTTCCTTTTGCCTAGCAAATTCTTATGTTTTAAGTCAGCAAGGAAGAGCATGTAGAAACAGTAGCTAACTGTGTAACGTGGATGTAATCCATCACTATTTGGCTCAGTGCATTGTAGTGTTCCTGAAAGTCCTCTGGAATGTGGCTCTGCTGGGAATTGTGGTTCTTGACAGAAAGTTTAACAGCAACATTGTTGTGCAGTGAGAAAGCTCAAAATCAATAGTGTCATATTTCTGACATTGATTATTGGGCTTTCAGAATGCTCCTCCTGAAGGGGAATGAGAATTGATATGCAAATAAGGAATTGCAGCCACTGTTGTGATCACATTTTTTAAAGGTGAAGTAAGCTACAACAACAACAACAACAAGATTTCATTTATAGAGCGCCTTTCACGTTGGGAGGACGTCCCAAGGCGCTGGACAGTTGGGTCAGGACCTGAGCAGAGGGTCCTAACTGTTGTGACTTCATATTGTATAATTAAATCTGTCTGTTCACATTAAGTGATGTTCAGGTTTATTTTGGAAGCTAAAAACATTAAGGTCTGGTTCAGTTGGTAGTACTTTCATCTCTGAGTCAGAATGCAACAACAACAATATTACATTTGTATAGTGCCTTTCACGTCAGGAGAACGTCCCAAGGCGAGAATAGTTCGAGCTTCACATCAGGGCTTTGAATTCACAGTCTAGGCTGACACTCCAGTGCAGTATTGGGGGAGATGGGTTACCAGAGGTCATGTCTGCCTGTTTGGATGGATGTTAAAAATCCCATAGCACTATTAAACAGAGAGGGAATTTCTCCCTGTGTCCTGGTCAACAATCCCTAGATAAATTCTCTTCATAGACATTTGTGGGTATTGCTGTGCCAAAATTGGCTGACATATTTGCCTAAAAATACAGTCACTGATCACTAATTACCTGTGACGTGCTTTGAGAAGTCTTTGTGTTATAGGTGTTATACCAAATTTAAGAATTATTATAAATTTAACTCTCAATTTTGAATCAAAGGAAGAGCTTAACCTGAATAATTTGCCATAAAAGAAGTGTCAAATTATTTTTCGGAGCATTACCTTTCTTCTCGCCAATTTTTCTCTGCTTGTTTTCTCCCTCATCTGTTTTGACCGTACAGATTTTTTTGCCCCATACTTCTGCAGTACAGCTCCACTGATGCTGATCACTCTCCCATGCATCAGACAAGAGATAGTTAGTCTTACATGAGCCTAGACAGTGAGTGTTAGCAAACTACTCAGCCAATGGGAGTATCAACCTTCTGGTCTAGCTGAGATAAACTGATTTAATACAGACCTAGACTTGAACCTCCAATCTTCCTAGTGTTTGCCTGCCAGTGCCTTTACCCTTGATGCCATCAGAGGCACTGTGCAGGCCTCTGAAAAATGATTCAACATTGTGTTGTCTGCTTTAGCTCCAAGTGACCTGCTTATCACAGCAGCATCTCGAGGTTAGACGATGTAAGTTAAGGTTGGCAGATGACTAATCTTCTCAGTGGTGACTCATTGGAAACTTTTTAAGATTGTCAAGGGGATTGAGAAAGTTTAAACAGGCTCAAGAACTATCCAGAGTCAGTGTTGAAGAGATGAGCTACTCGGTGATATACAGCTGTGAGATTGAGAGCTAAGGAAAAGGAATGGTCTTTTCGTATAAATCCCTATGTTCTTCTGCAATCCACCAAAATATTTCAATTGTAAGATTTTGGAGGAAGATTGCAATTTGGAGGAAGATCCCAAGTTTTGTAAAGTTTCCACTTTAAATATAGAGGTCAGCCACCGACACCAACAATAATAACAGAGCTGTGAGCTGTTAATAATAAAAAATGAGCTGTGAGAGGAGCTGGGCCTTGATGTGTCTTTATGGGGTTTTGCAATTTATTTTCCTGCTTGCAAGCAAACAAAATAATGGTCAAGCTCCATGTGCCAGTATATTGAGGAAATATCTATACTGATTTATGATGGGATTTTTCCATTATGAGCAACATATATCATTAAAGTGCACTAAACTGACCGACAGGTAGAGCAACACCCTCATTGCTTTAACACTTTGTGTAACATGATTAATAGAGATATTGGTTTTTTTAAAAAATTAGTGAGCAAGACTTGATTCAACAATGACCTGCATTTATATAGTGCCCTTCATGCAGTCTTCGAGAGTTGGACATTGACGGGGTTAGACCTCGAACAAGGTAGAAGGGGAGGATGAGGCATAGGCATAGGCATGGTTGAAGACCTGGGTCTTAAGACGGGATTTAAAGATAAAGAGGGGGTAAGGTAGTAGGACTGAGACAGGGAGTTCCAGAGGATAGGGTGTAGTGGCTGAAGGCACAGTGCAGAGGTTTCAGGGTCTGCTAAGGGTCTGACACCAACTCTATCTCTATGCCTCCACCCTCAACTCCAGGACTACTGGGGTCCTGACCAACTGCCTGTCTGACATCAAGTCATAGAATCATAGAATCATAGAATCGTACAGCACAAAAAGAGGCCATTCGGCCCATCGAGTCTGTGCCGGCTCTTTGAATAGAGCAATTAATGTCAATCCCACTCCCCAACCCTTTCCCCATAACCCTGCAAACCCGTCCTCTTCAAATACCCGTCTACCGCATGCTTAAAAGTAGTTATCGAATCGGCCTCGACCATCCTTTCAGGCAATGCGTTCCAGATTCGAACAACTCGCTGCGTGAAAAAATTTCTTCTCACCTCCCCTCTGCTTCTTTTGGAGACTTTTTTGAATCTGTGACCTTGAGTCACCGACACACCCACCAGTGGAAACAGTTTTTCCCTTTCTAACCTATCAAATCACCTCATGATTTTGAAGACCTCTATTAGGTCTCCTCGTAACCTTCTCTGCTCCAATGAGAACAATCCTAACCTCTCTAGCCTTTCCTCATAATCAAGGTCCCTCATCCTCGTCCTGGACGAGGGACAACTTTCTCCAACTCAACGTCAGCAAGACCGAGGCCCTCCTGATTGACTCCCTCCAGCGCCTCCGCACTCTCGGCGCTGGCAGTATCAGCCTCCATGGCTGCACACTCAACCTCACTAAGCCAGTCAGGAACCTGGGTGTCTTGTTTGACCCTGAACTATCCTTTCTCCCCCACATCCGCACCATTACCGGTACTGCCTACCAACGTCTCCGCAACATTCCCAGACTCCACCACTGCCTCACCCCTCAGGCTGCCAAAGCCCTCATGCATTCATCACATCAAGGCTCAATTATGGAAACTCCCTCCTCATCGGCCTTCCTAATTCCTCCCTTCACAAGCTGCAGATCATCCAAAACTCTGCATCTCGTGTACTCTCATGCACCAGGCTCCGTGACCCCATCACTCCCACTATCGCCCGAACCCACTGGCTCCCCATCCCCCAGAGGATCGAGTTCAAGATCTTTGTCCTCACCTTTAAGGCCATCCATGGCCTTGCCCCCTCCTACCTCTCTAACCTGCTGACTCCCTACCAACCTGCCCGGTTCCTCCGTTCAGTGGGCTCCGGCCTGCTCCATGTCTCCCGCCCGACCCACCCTACCATCGGTGGCCGGGCTTTCAGCCTCTCTGCCCCCACACTGTGGAACTCCATCCCACAGTCCCTTCGCCTCGCTTCCTCCCTTGCCTCCTTCAAGGCCGGTCTCAAGACCCTTCTCTTCGATCGTGCCTTTGGTCTCTTTCCCACCTCTCTGCCTTCCCTCAACCCTACACCACCACTCCCCCATGCTCAGGCCCCAACATCTGACTGTTCAGCGCTTTGGGAGGTCCTCCCGATGTGAAAGGTGCTCTATAAATGTCATTTTGTTGTTGTTGTTGTGCAGGAGGCCTGTTAGCTAGGTACTAGGTTGTGAAAGGATTTAAAGTATAATTGCATTATACCTGACTGTTTTCCTGTGGGAACATCATTACTGGCAAACTCCGCTGCCGCTCATGTTTACAGGCATTGAGTTGCCTCTGCTGCAGCTGCACCCTCTCCTTATTCTTCTCCACCAACTTCATGCCCTCCCTTAGCCGCTCTGAGTTCTGCTGGTACTCTTTCCACTGGCTCTGCAGATCTTCCTGCTCCTTCCGCAACTGCTCCGCCTGTTGTTGGCATTCCCGCTCGCGCTCCTGCAGCCTGTTCGCTTGCGCTTCCTGCTCCCGCTGTCTCCACTCGCACTCCAGCTCCCAGCGCTGCTGCTCTTGCTGAAGCTGGTGCTGAAGCTTGCGGACATTCACCAATTCCTCCCTCTGCTTCTCCAGGTTGCGCTGTTTCTCTTGCTCGAGCAGCAGGCTTCCTCGAGGCCCGTGGTTGTGAGGTGGTCGCTCGCGCTCCTGTAAGATGAGCCTCTGCACTTCAATGCAACTGTCCTGTATTGACACAACAGCCTGGAAGAGAAGAGAACCGTGAGCTGTTCTAAATGCTGGATCTGCATTGGCACCTGCTAGTTCTAAACAAAAACTACAATGTAATCTCTGTATATCACACTTTTTAGACCGCGTTAAGCTAACGTCTTAATCCTATAGAGATAGAATGTTTTAATAAAGGTTTTTCACATATATATATATATTTGATACATATTTAAATCTCTTTTCTCAGCCAGAAATGCCATGTTGTTTCCCCAATTTGTAGAATCAAAATATTATAGCAGACAGAAGGCATTCAGCCCATCAGTCCTGTGCCAGCTAAAAGAAATATCCAATTAGTGCAATCACCCAACTCCATATACTTTTACAATTTTTCTTTAACAAATAATTGTGCAATCCCCTTTTAAAAGCTAGTGAGAATTTTGCTTCAGCTTGTAATTATAGTGGAGACAAGATTGATCATCATGTGTTGATGGCAGCTTTCACAACCCTTCCACAATCTTGCCCCTCTCTCTCCAGAGAGATGTATCCTGATCACCTAATCCGGGAAAGTATTAGGTGCACATTGACCAGAGTCAAGGTTTGGGGACCTCAGAGTGTGATTTGGAACATTCCTGGAATTTAATCAGCTAAAACTGAGTAGCATACATTGCCTGGCAGGCTTAAGGCAAAGAAGAACATACATGTAGTACATTCCCTGCCTTGCTGATGGAACATACTCTCATGGATGATAAACCAACAGTTCAGGAGTATAGAAATAAAGTCACCTACCCCCTTCCCACAAAAGTCATCTGTCTGGCACCAATTATTGTTAGAATTCTATTGACCGACAGTAGATATCTTTAACTTTTTGTAAATTTAAGCATCAAGGGATATAACCGCTCTGAGATGCGCATATTTAATTAAAATAACAAAACCATCTCACCTGCAAACTGTACAGAAGCTGAGTGAGATTCTGAACACTGTGAATGATCTGAAAAGACAGATGAAAACAGCCATTTAGTAAGTTGCACAGAGTGAATCAGTGCCTGGTGTGATTAGTGTCTCTGATTAAATGTAGTTCAGCTTCATCATAATGTGATATTTGTGGTGCTTAAAAAATGAGACTGCATTGTAGTGGAGTGTGTTATAGTGACTCATTGTAGCCAGGGTTACTGGGATCGTTGGTGAATTGTTCGAGTTTGACTAAACCTGAAGCTGAGTGCAGAAAATTGTCCAATTCCTTTTTAAAACGCCTCGTCATTCCCCCACTGTTGACAGTCTGTTTCACATACTGTGGAATCCTATTGTATAATTGTCATTATAATGTGGGTTCCCTTACAAGGTGAGTGCATCATTTAAATTCTCTTTTGTTGTCATGATTGTGATTTCTGGTATTTTCTGCAGAGTAGAGAAACATGTCTGAATTCCAATATTGCAATCCCTTCCTTTATAAGATCTCTATCAGTGCAAGAGGCAAGTCCCAGTGGACCTGGCCTTTCCTCATTTCTCCGTTCCCTAGATTCTAGTAACCCTTGGTACTCTATTCAGTATAAGAATATGAGAAATAAAGTAACGGAACAGCAGATCAATTAGCAGGATCTAATGTTGTGGTTGAGGGTAATGGTTGGGCCCGAGTTCTTGAAACCACTTTAGACAACTCAGTATGGAGTCAGCGTGGCTTAATCGATAGATCTCTGGCTCAGAAGGTTATGGGTTCAAGCTCTATTTTGGGGCTTGAACTCACAATCAATGTTGACACTCCAACTACAACAACTCACATTTTGCATAGTGCCTTTCACGTCAGAAGACATCCCAAGTGCAGTATTGGGGAAGTGCTTTGTTGCAGGAGGTGCCATCCTTTTGTAATAAAATGTTAACCCAAGGTCCCATATTCCTGCTTCCAGATAGGCATTAGAGATTCCATGACACTGTTCAAAAAGTTTCACTCAATGCCCTGGCCAAAAACCCAGGTTAATTTGCCATTCATTTTATGGCTGCTTGTGAGATTTTATTGTTGCAAATAGCCACTGCATTTGTCTATAGAAGCTGTCACTAAACTGGACAGTAATTATTATGAACCAATTCAAGACAGTTCAACGCCAGAGAATGTTATAAAAATACAATTGGGGTGGCGGGGGGAGTTGGACAGGAAGAGATTGAATAACTCTTATTTGTCTGAGATTAGTTCTATGAGATAGCTTGTGACGGCGATTTGTTCTCACATTGAAAACAATGGGGGTTTGAGTGCACAAGGAAATATCATCCTGCCTCAGGCAATATACGTTTCAGCTGCCATCTCCCATCTGTTAGGCACAGGAAGCACATGAAGAATGTGTTATATCACTTTAAGTATCTACCATCAATACCCATGAAAATTGACAGGCAATTGGATGTTGAATTATTGTGGATTCATTCACAACAGATATCAAAGCCAAGAAAAGGTTTCACCCTGCGGTGGTCAGAAAGACAGGGAAACAAAAGTGCAACGCAGGGCAAACAATACAAAGGTACTTCTTCAAGAAATGCACATACAAACATGACAATGATTACTTTCAGATATATCAAGGCAATTTGGACAGGTTGAGGGTTGTGATGTGCAATTTTAGGACAAGTATCGGGAAATATTTCTTTACACAGAGTAATCAACAGCTGGAATTGGGTTACAAATATTGGGAAGTAGGCCAGAATACTGCGCTCAATTAAAAAACAGTTTGATTCTGCAATGGGAAGAAGGTAGGAGTAGTATCTGGAAGGACGAGATCAAGTGGGATGAAGGGTCTTCTTCATCTGAACCTCTCTTGTGAATATAAAATAATGACAAAAAAAATCAGTAACATCACTTTCACACTTCATTGCCGAGATTTTTTTTCTTGTAAAACCATGCATTCCTACTGAACCACTGAAAATTAATAACACGATGCACAAAATAGGCTCTTTCTGAAGTAATTTAACAAACTGTGGAATCAGTGTTAAAAACACAACCAATGAGAACCTAAACCTTCACTGTTCAATTGCCATCTCGTGGCAGCAAACCACAATTGCAGATCGGAAATCTGTCAAAATTGACTTCCTTTATAATTTAGCAAAATGACAAACTTGTGCAACAATGGGCAGGCTAATATTTCACGCTAGTAAATAATGGTTTCCGAGGAGGGAGGTGGGATGGGTTACTTTACTACCCCTATTCAGAAGCAAGAGTTTATCAATAGACCAGATGAACATGATGACAGCGCAGTTTGAAAGATGAATCATCTACAAATGGTTTTGTGATTTAATTCCTGTCACTGTAATTCCTTATCATTTTCCCAAACTGGAATCCATACAAAGTATCATTTCCCTCCCTATCTGGAAACTCCTTATCTGGATGAATGAATTATTTTATCTTTATTCCTAGATTATAAACAACACAAAGGAAACATCATGCGGCTGCGTGCACATTAGGTGCAAATACAGAAAGTGTGAGCGAATGCATTTTTTGCAACTTGCGATGAAAACATTATACTTCTGTGTACAATAATACAATGTTTGAAACATATGCTTTGCACCCAAGTAAAAATTCTGTTCTGCGTAGTTATTTAATACTTTTAGGTGAATATCAACTAAATATATTGTATTTAGTGTATAATTAATTTAGCATTTAATAAATTATATTAAAAGTGTCAACCAGACGATATGAAATTATCAGGTTGACCATAAAGATCCCATCACAAGAAATTAGGCAAGACATCACAAAGCCACATAAAATCATTTGTGGATGATCATGGGAATGCTGTTTTAGCCCTTATCTAAATTCATCAGGAAAGCAGATTATATTTGACCATGCAACGTGTATCAACTTGTGGGATATTGATGGTGCAGATTTACCCAAGCAACAGTCGCTATACTTCAAAATAACTCACTGAAACTCTGCAGGATGTTTTGATGTGATAAGACACTTGTCAAATACAAGTGTGTTATCTAAAATCATTTTTATTACTATTACTATTTACTTCTTAAATTGAACCTTCTCTATGTCCCAGGCACTGATCTCTCTGTCCTCCGTCTGGAGCCAGTCAAGGCACAGCCATGTCCACTACAGCTTCCAATGCTGCTCCACTGTCTGCCTCCCTGATGATTGCCGAGCCTGAGGTGAAGTATGCCATCTAATGGTACAGTTAGGAATTAGTAAAAACTGACCCACTGAGGACAAGCTAAAGTTAAATTCAAGTCAAAGTCAAGATTTAAAAAACAAGCTTTCTTCAATGATGGCAACTTGCTACTGCTATTTATTATCATCAGAGCAAATAAACTAGTGTAGGTACTGGATACAGGAATTTATTTTGAATTAGGTAATTTCAACTATACTGTATATATTTATATTTCAATTTTATCATTATTAGACTCAATTACAGAAGTTATCTTAGTTATTATGACATACTTTTTCAATCTTTGACCCCCACACCCATGTTACAGATGACCCAGGCAGCCCAGTGGTCCCTCTACACCGAGACATTGATGAAGAGGCACATAGTAAGGGACAGTGGAAAACCTTTCTTCCAATTTAGCTTGCTCTCTCCCCAACACCCCCCGTCATGATCTCCACTTGATGCTTTCAGCTATTATACTCCTTCACTGGAACTTCTCCCCCCCTCCCCACTCTGCCTTGCACCCTCCCTCTCAGCTTTCAATTCTCTTCTAAAAACCTTCCTCTTTGACAATCCTTCAATCAATTTCCTCCACCTTTCTACCTTGCTCACAATTCCAACTAGCCACGTTTTGCCCACAAAATATACTGTCAATTCACTTTACAGTATTTTCTGTGAAGCGCTTTGAGACTTCTCAAAGACGTTATAAGGCGTTATATCAAGTGCAAGGATTATTATTCTTATTTATTATTATAAAGTGCTTTGAGGCATTGCTCAAGGTGAAAGCTGCTAGCTATACAAGTCCAAGTCATTCATCCCTAAACCAGCAAAACTGGTCTTAACAAGAGAGGTCAAGTTTGACGAATTCTGCATGTAACGGACTGAATTCTGATGCACAAAATATTGTGTCATAGTTGTAAAGAAAGTATATCGTCAAAAGTTGCGACAGAATGAAGGCAGTGCAGAAAAATACCACATAATTGTCAGGTGTGAATAACTTTTACACACACACATTATGGTGAAATTAAACAGATTTCAAGATGTACAAAGGCAATCAAATGGGTGCCTGGTAGGACTTCTCCAAACACTGGAAATAACCGATCTGCCCTGAAGGATAATATCCTTTATTTCAAATTCCAGACATCTCCATTCTATACAAAAGTCTTAAGCCTCTGTAAAATTTTGAGAAGGTTTTAGCACAAGGACCAGCTAAATAACTAGCTAAAATGATTACTCCAACGCACTCCTCACCGGTCTCCCCTGCTACACCATTCAAAAGATCTAGTTCATTCAAAACTCTGCCGCCCACATACTGACCCGGATCAAATTCTGTACCCACACCTCACCAGTTCTGGCCAAGCTCTACTGGCTCTCCATCGCGGAACGGATCGACTTCAAGATCCTCACACTTGTGTTCAAATCCCTTCACTCTCTGCACCTCCCTACCTCTCCAACCTCCTCACTCCCCAATCCACCACCCCGCTCCTCTGCTCGTCTGACACCGGCCTCCTGCTCGTCCCTCGCACCCTCCACCCCATCGGAGGTCATGCTTTCAACCACTACGCACCAAAACTATGCAACACTCCCACTGAACCCCTCAGCCTTGCCCCCTCTCTCCCCTCTTTCAAGTCCCACCTGAAAACTTTCTTCTTCGACCGTGCTTACGGCCACCTCCTCCCACACCCCCCCGCCCCTCCCCACACCTCCGGCTCAGAGTCAGGCTCCGCCACTGTTAAGCGCTCTGAGATGCTACCCTGCGTGGAGGCGCTATACAAATGCAAGCTGTTGTTACTGTTGTAAAAGCAAACAAAATCAATAGCAAAATAAAAGGCCATTAGCAAAAATAAGTGCCGAATCAATCATTTGAGATTTTCCAAATACTACAATTGAAACAGTTAAGATATTCGTAAACTGGAAATCAGTATTAGTACATCAAATCTGTGAATATCTTGATTTAAGGCACTTTGTGAAAGTGTTTCTGTGCTTACGCTCTTCTTTAATTGCCTGTTGTCATATTAAGCGGTAGATGGTGGATAGGTAAATGACAATCAAACAAATGAGATTTCTCTCGAAACATTCGCCTTTTTTTCCTCCACTTTCCTACATGGTGGATTATTGTTCCAAGGGCTCTGGCCTTTCATCAAAGTTGCCATTCTTCATACATGATCAGTGACAGTGAGCCCAAGCAGCCTATTCGATCAAGAGAGGGTTACAGCCGAATCAGGGCCTGCAAACCCAAACATTTCAATATAGGTCACAAAAAGAGTCAGGAGTGGAAACTCTGCCTGATTTTTACTTTGTAACCCAGTCTAATGAAATGAGTTCGATTCCTAGAAATATTAGGAGGTTTCACCATGTATGTTACAGTGTTATTGTGAGTTACATCCACGTTGTGGATGGTGGGTCCCTAACAATCCAATGGATATCTGAGATCCTCGAAGAGGTAAAGGGACTGGTCATTGTCACATAAAGCTACACAGACCAGAAGGTGACAAGTTTGATCTGCAGTTTATTCTGAAATAGCTAATCTCAGGCAGGGTGACAGTAAGGGTGCTACATTTGACATCAGTGCCCAGTAGCTATTGGAAATGTGATTTGCGAAAGCAGATGAGGATGAGCTACCTTGAACACTCCTCCCTCCCAACAAGAGTCTGCACAGTCTAGAACAATAGTCTTGTTCATTTTCATAACATTAGTTTCCAAACAACAATAACAACTGGGAGTGGCTTCTCGATTCCAGTGATATCCCACTGGTTTCCAGCAGATCTCAACAATCTTGAGATGCTTTCTTTATGATTTTAATGGTGGCTTTTCAATAGCAACTTTGAATTCATTGGCTTTGCTTTTAAATCATGTTGAATGATGCAACAATAAATTTAAAGCTAGAACAAATATGTTATTGGAAGGGAGGAGTTGGGTGGGGATGGGGGCACGGTGAGGAGTGGGGGGAGAGAGAAAAGAAAGCTGCAGATGTAGCTGAATAATATCTGGAATATTTAAGGGAAATATCATTCCAAGAGAAAGTTTGGCCCCCAAAAAAGGTACAGCAGCTTCAATATTCATAACATGTGGATGTTTGAGCAATGTCTGGAGCAATAACCAGAATCAAATCCTCCAGCGTGGATAGGAAAAGACAGCCAATTATGTGTTTTCCGCACTGTCTGGAGGCTACTGACAAGCAAAGGAAATCAGATGCATACAGACTCCTTACCTTCTGTATACCTATGTCTGATCCGGGCCGGTGCACCTCACTGTCGGACTGCATCACAGAAGACTCAGAACCACTTCTCCCCTCGGAATCTGTAACAGGGGAGAGAGAGCTTGGAGTCCTTGTGTCAGAGGCATCTATTAGGGGAGACATGAAAAGTGGACATAAACTTTTGCTTGTGTGCGTTACTGCTGTGATTTATGAGAACAGCCAAATAAGAACAAAGCAAACTTGTTGCAAATTTGTCACCGCTCCACACTGATCAGTTCTTGCAAATAAAGGCAGATGGCGCTGCATAAATGTGGACCTTCGCCAGAACCCCTGCTGATGTTTGCGTTGGTCTGTGGTCACTATGGGATCAAAGAAGGGCAGCGTGTGCTTTTACAAACAATTGCTATGAGCCAGCTTTTGAGAACTACAATTTCCACCAAGCTATCAAAGCTCCTGGCATTTACGTGCAAAAACAAACTTATCTATTAAGCAAAACTAAGGAATACTTCTTACAGTATACACAGAGTTTGATCCCAAGACTTAAATTCTCGCAAACATGTGCGAGTCCAATGATAGTTTGTTGTGATCAGTTACTATGGGGGGAGGAGGAAGGAACAGAAGAAGTGGCTTCTGAAAGGAAAGAGCAAGTCTTGCAGCATAGCAGAGCTGAGAAGCTACATTGAAATGGGGTGTTTTACCGGCCACTGTCTAAGGTAATGAAGTCTCATGGTTGATGCCGATAATAGAGCTGGAAAGAAAAAAAAATGTGAATGCTGGAAAAACAGCCTCAGTTACTGAGGAGATGTCAATACTATAACACCATCTGAAAGGATGCAATTCAAGGAAAGGTTTCTGAACACAGTCAGAGGAACAAATAATGAAGCAATTTCCTGCTTGAGAGTACACATGTTTTTTTTTGGTCAGCCAGATGTCTGACACATGTAGAAACCCATTACCATGCTTAAGAGTTTCGAATCCAAACAGAGTTTCATGCACCCACCTATATATTGAAATTCCAGAGATAAATTGTTGGAATGAAATGTGCACTCTCTGCCTGGAGTGACACATCCTGCTTACCCAATTCCAGAAAGTATTAGGCATAGATTGTCAAAAAACAGTCTCCATGTATATATGGTATTTATTTGTCTGATACAGAGTACACACCATCTCGCTGGAGGGATACACTCTGCTTGACAAATCCCGGAGAGTTTAGGTGCAGATTGGCAAGAGCTGAGGCTATGGTACTGTTATAGATTAATCTGCGCTACTTGCCATTGCAAACATTGCCAAGCATGTCACTGCTTGTCCAACTAGGACCACCTTACCAATTAGGAATTTGCTTTTGGCTTGCAGCGTTAAAAGATGCCGAATGGAAAGAATCCCAGCAGTGACTGGTCTGCTCACACTGGTCACACGAGGAGCGGCGGCAGGACAACGCGGGGAGGAGCCTGGGCCTACCTTTTCAGGTAATATAAAGCTCGAGGCGGCAGGAAGTTCAGCTAGGGGGAGGGGCGGAGCGGGGGAACCGCTGACGTCATAGTTTAGTTTCAGGAGTGTGCGCACGTCAAAAAAAACAAAACTAAAAAATCCCTCTGCACACCCCCAGGGCTCGCATCAGGGACCACCATAGTCCTGTTGGGTTGGCTGCCCCAGACCCAGCCTATGGGCTAATGCCATCCACCTGACCGCTTGTTCCCGGTCCCCGCGTGCACATTATGGCTGCCGCTCTGACCCGAGCCCCTCACCCCCTGCCTCACAACCTGGATCCCCCTCCCTCTCTACACACCCTTCTGTCAACCGCTCCCTCCACATCGGACTACAAAACGTCCGCTCCCTCTGTAACAAGGCCCTGGTCATCAACGATCTCATCCTTGATGAAAGCATTGACATCATGGCCTTAACGGAAACCTGGCTTACCCCAAGTGACACCTTCCCCCTCACGGAGGCCACACCACCCGGCTACACCTCCCACTACATCCCTCGCCCCAACCGCTGTGGCGGTGGTGTAGCCCTTATCTCAAGGACACCACTTTCCCTATCCCCCTACTCCTCTGACTCTTTCCCCTCTTTTGAGCACCTCACCCTCTCCCACCCCTCCTATCTCTCACTCAAAATCCTCCTCCTCTACCGGCCCCCTAAAACCTCTCCCACCTTCATCTCCGATATGTCTACCCTACTAAAATCTCTCTGCGTCTGCTCTGATCACCTCATCATCCTGGGCGACTTCATCCTGCACTTCACCCCCTCCTGCTCCATCTCCTCGGACTTCTCTTCCCTGCTCTCCTCTCCCTCCACATCAATTCTGCCACTCACAGTCACGGCCACCCACTCGATTTGGTGATCACCCGGGGTCTCAGTATCTCGGATGTCACCATTACCGACAAGACCGTCTCCGATCACCACTTCATCTCCTTCACCACCTCCACCCACCTCCCCACCTCCACCAGACCCATCACCATCTTCTACCGCCCCTGGAAGAAGTTACCCCCACAATCCCTAACCGCTACCTTGGGAGTCCTCTGAACTCCTCTCCCTCTGGCCTTCATCCCTCACTGACCCCTCTTCTGCATTCACCCTCCTCCACAACACCCTCTCCTCCACACTTGACATTCTTGCCCCCATCACCTCCCGTACTGTCTCCTACTCTCGCTCCTCCCCCTGGTTCACCACCCACCTCCGCTCACTGAAGAGCCAGCTGTGGGCCGCTGAACGCACCTGCCTCAAAACTGGCCTAACGGTCCACTGACAAATCTGGCTGGACCTCCTCAAAATCTACCGCTCCACTCTAGCCTCGGCCAAGTCGTCCTTCTACTCCAGAATAATCCTGCAGGCGAAGAACAACCCCAGGCTTCTGTTCTCTACCACATCCCGACTCCTCCGTCCTCCCCGCCACCCCGCGCAGGTCATCTCCTCCAACCCTCACTGCGAGGAAATGCTGCATTTCCTTGAATCCAAAATCAAGGGAATCCGCTCCGGGGCAACTGCCCCTCCAACTTCCACCCACCCCTTCCCCTTTGACTCCTACCCATCCTCCCCTACACACCTTCGAACCTGTTTCCCCACCCTCTGTCACCAACCTCATCCTGTCCCTGAAACCCACCACCTGCTCCCTTAACCCCATCCCCACTCCACTCCTTATCTCTCAGCTCCACCTCCTTGCCCCACTTCTCACAGACATCATCAATCTGTCCCTCTCCTCTGGCTCTGTTCCCATTCCCCTAAAAACTGCCACCATCACTGACAGTCTGCCTGTCTGACATTGAGTCCTGGACGAGAGACAACTTTCTTCAGCTCAACGTGCGCAAAACTGAGGCCCTCCTGATTGGTTTGTGTCAGCGCCTCTGCACCTCAGATGCTGACAGCATCAGCATTCAAGGCTGCACTCTCCACCTCTCAAAGCCGGTCAGGAACCTCGGGGTTCAGTTCGACCCTGAGCTGTCCTTTCATATCCACGCCACAACTGGCACCGCCTTCCATCACCTCCAGAAGATCGCCAGACTATGGCACTACCTCACCCCTCACGCTGCTGAAACACTGGTCCACGCCTTTATCACCTCAAGGCTGGACTATGGGAACTCTCTCTTCGCCGGCCTTCCCGGCACCTCCCTCCACAAGCTGCAGGTCATTCAGAACTCTGCAGCTCGTGTACTGTCCCGCACCAGGCTTCGGACCACATCACTCCCACCCTCGCTCGCCTCCACTGGCTCCCCATTCCCCAGAGGATCGAATTCAAGATCCTCATCCTCACCTACAAGGCCATTCACGGCCTTGCTCCCTCCTACCTCTCCGACCTACTATCCCCTTACCTACCTGCCTGTACCGTTAGGCCGGTCTGTTCCACATTCCCCGCCCCAACCGCCCTACCATCGGTGGCCGGGCCTTCAACCTCTCAGCCCCCAGTGCCTTGGCCTTGCTTCCTCCCTTTCCTCCTTCAAGGCCAGTCTCAAGACCTTTCTCTTCGACCGTGCCTTCAGCTCCCCTCTCGTCTCTCTACCCCCTCCTCGCTCCCTACCCTTCCCTCCCCTCACCCTGACCATTTCCCCCCTGCTCGGGTCCCGACCCAACTGTCCAGCGCCTTGGGACGTCCTCCTGACATGAAAGGCGCTCTATAAATGAAATCTTGTTATTGTTGTTGCTCCTTCAAATCTTATCAATAAGCTAGTCTGCCTGGTCGAACATCAACGGCGACTTCACAGATGCATATAGTGAGGACATGGGTTCGCACAATGGGTTCACACATCAGTGCAATTCATATTCAATACTTTAGGAATTTGAACATTCAAATTGCATGCTTGATCCCACTATGTGAGGTGAAATATATGTTACAAAGATGCTTTCCACCTAGTCACAGTTGTTGGCAGAAGTGAAAGTATTATATAAACATGTCCTGAAAAGGCAGAACTTGTTATTATCCGCTCATGTTATCGGTACAGTAACATGCCTCATTGGAGTGGCATGTTGGTGCTCATTCTCTGCTCACAATTAAATTTGCAGACCATGACACAAAAGAATATCGCATTCTCTGCTGGGTGCTGGAGGTTCATAGACGGAAGTCCCATTGTAAAGTCATACTGCCAAGACCTCTACCAATGCCAAAAGATTCACCCCTATAGTACTTATACAATCGTACAACTAACCAACATTAATTCATATTGATACGTTGTCTCCCTGTAGCTGATTTCAACTTACATACAGTAGGCAATATGCGAGTGCTACCACTTCCAAAGTGTTCCTGCTTGTGCGGTGACACTGGCTCTCCCAAACCTTCCAGCGACCGGCGAGCAGAACCACATGACTGTGATGTCAACATCATCTGAAGGTTTTCAGCTAAAGGATGGAATCAAATAGAACAGTAATTAAACAAAATAAGTTTAATTCCTAATAATATATACTATTAAGTAATTAAACTAATTAAACTTTTAGTACATATTAGCTGAAATGTAGTATACAACAACAACAACAAGATTCCATTTATAGAGCGCCTTTCACGTCGGGAGGACGTCCCAAGTATAGTAATTGCTAGATCTTTCAGATAATATGTACTGTCGTCCTTGGCGGGGCGTTAAGCAGGCTCTCCTTGTTGCTGACCTGGCTCCAAGGTGACATGTTTGGCCACAAAATGTCAGAATGGAGCCAACCCACCATGATGGTCTTGGTAGTCCGGTTTCTCAGCCAGGCGGGTCCACAGTACTGATGACAGCACAGCCAGACTGACACATCAGCAGGAATTGGAAGGCCAGACCAGTCACTCAGCAAACCAAAGCCCTAATGGGTAGGGTGGTCCAAGCTGAACAAGCAGCGGGCAAGTCAGACAGTGCTTCCAATGGCAAGCTATGCAGTTTTAACTGATTAGACACCAACAGTACCACACTCTGAGGTCCCCAAGCCTTGGTTCTTGCCAAACTGCATCATACTCTTCAGAATTAGGTAAATATGATGCATCCCTCAGGAAGGGACTGCATATTTTATTCTAATAAATATCACTGGAATTTCCATGCATGGAATTTTCAGTTTAGTTTGGATAATTAAGCACTGTGATGGGTTTTCTCATGTGTCAGACACCCACCTGACCCCTAAAAATTCAGATAATGAACAGTATTCATGAAGAAACAGCTATTTTTCCACAATGAATATTTTAAAAATATTTTTGTTTTTTAAAGAACTGGCAATCCTGGATTAAATAAATAAAATAAATAAATTCCTACCCTCCTTAACTGCAGCATTCAATAACAGCCCAGCTTGGGGAAGTTCCGTGGTTTCTGGCTTCATCAGAAGATGAGCATCCTGAGCTGCATCTTCACAGCCGTTTTTTTCTGCCATTTCTCCATAGATTCGTAGCTTCTCCTCCAAACTAGTGCAAATTTGCTGATCCTGACAACTGAGCCGTTCTGTACAGAAAGAGCAGCATTCACTGACAGGACCATCAACAACTCAACGTGCTAACATACACCTCACTGAGGAGGCACCTGCAATGTTCATTTTTCTAACAACATTGTGGCTGTTTGCTTACTCCCCGTCCCAAAAGCATAGTGTAAAAATAAATTTTTTTTTTAGAGATGTGTAAATGCAACATTAACCACTGCCTGCTCCACAGTATTCTTACAAAACAATAATAAAAATAATAGTAATCCCTGCATTTGATATAGCACCTTATCACGTCGTCCAGACATCTCAAAGTGCTTCACAGGATAAACTGTAAAGTGGATTGACCAAGTATTTTGTGGGCGAAACACGGCAGCCAGTTTGCGCACAGCAATGTCCCACAAACAGCCATGGAGTGAGGAATTACCAGGGGAAATCAAGGCCAGGGTGGGAATTCTCAGGACAGAGAAAAATAAAAGGACTTATAACTAATCTTCAGATAATTGAAACAACATTTGATTAATGGCAGTGGTTAATGCTGCATTTACCGTGCAGAATATTTTGATTTGCAAAAAGACTAATGGGACCATTTTATGTTTCTCTCCTGAAAGCTGGGCATTTGCAATTACCAAAAAATAAAGAACAGATTTAAAATAGAATGAAATAAACTGAAGCAGAATGAAGCCAGTCCAGCTGAAATTCATAAAAGCATATGAAAATCTGATGATTAAACGCATAATAAAAAAGTAACAAGCTCATAACACTCAAAACCCTGGTGTTTCACAACATCTGCAGGTGTTGGGTGTAAAATATTTACAGCCATCACACTCTTGAATTCCTGAAACTTTTTTTTCTATGCAAATTCATTTGAGATGAACATTCAAAATATTTTGTTCAAAATATTTGTTAACCCCCTGCAAATTACACATTATATAATCCTTGAATTTGATATAGTACTTTATCACATTGTAGATAAATCTCAAAGTACTTCACAAGATTTTACTGTGAAATGTGGTGACTGTGTATTTGTAGGCTAACACAGCAACCAATTTGTGCATTGCAATAATAATAATCCTTACATTTGGTACAGTGCCTTTCACATTGGAAGGATGTCCCACATGCTTCACAGGATATACAGTAAAGTGGAGTGATGTGTTTTGTGGACGAATGTCCTATACATAGTCAAGAGAAGAGTGATCAATGTTATTTGGAGGATTGTAAACCATGATGCAGGGAGAAACCCCTTTTTCTTTCCAAATAGTGCCATGAGATCTTTAATGTCTATATGAACCATCAGATGGGACCTCGGTTTAATGTCTATGGCATCTTTGGTAAAGCAGTACACGGGCACTGACGTTGGTCTAGATTGTGAGTTCAAAGTCCTGACATGGGGCTTGAACTCATCACCTTCTGACTCAGGTAAATGATAGCAACTGAGCTAAGCTGACATTTTGAGCAGCAAATTTTAACGGTAGAAGTGGAAATATTGAAAGAAGAGCAGATAAATCTCATGGAAATCTCATGTTTATATAATAATAATAATCCTTGCATTTTGATATAGTGCTTTTCATGTCTTCTAGACGTGTCAAAGAGCATCACAGAATATACTGTGAAATGAATTGACTGTGTATTTGTGGGTGAAACGCAGCAGCCAATTGCACACAGCAACGTCCCACAAACAGTCTTGAATTGAAGTGACCAATTTATTGTTTTTTTTCTTGAGGGATTATTATCAGGCGTGTGGAGTAAGGAAACTTGCCCTAGGTTTCACCCTGGCGGGAATCAAACCCAGGTCTCTCGCTTGTGAGGCGAGGGCTCTAACCACTGAGCTACAGGTCATGCTCTAGACAGGTTGCAGCTAGAGTACTGCATACAGTTCCGGTCACCGTGACATAAGAGGTACTTAGGTACTAAGGCAGTGCAGAAGAGAGCAAAAAAGATGATCCCAGCAGCGTTAGAGAAATCAGCTATGAGAAAAGACTAGGTAAACTAAAGCTCTTCAGCTCTGGAAATAAATGTGAGAGATGACCTTATAGAACTATATACGATGCTAAGTGCGATTGAGAAAATATGCCCGAGACAATCCTTTATTATATGTTAAGGCAGCGGGGCAAGGGGGCACAGGTTCAGAGTTGTGAAAGGCACTGAGAAAATTCAGGACAAGAAGTCTTTCTTTACAGGAGGGTAATTAATGGATAGAACAGATCATCAGGAAAGATCATTGAAGCCAGGACCTGGATTCATTTAAGAAATAGCTTGAGTTAGATATTCTAGAAGGATGGGATCAAATGGGCTGAAAGGCTTTCTTCACCCATTGATAGCCTCCATTGTATGAGCCACAGTGAGAAATTTTGACAGGATAAGTCACTAAAAAATTTTTGTTTGCTTTTAACTTAAATTTTAAATGTTAACTTTAAAGATCCATGGATCAATGTACAAAGCAAAATAACCCCCATCATATCGAAGAGAAGTATTTATTATTTAATATTAAGGTTATTCTTTCTGACTGTTTGACATCAATGTTTAAGCCCAGCATCTATCGAGAAAGTTGACCTATATTGAGCGATTCAAACAAGTCTGCTTTTATGCACTTCTCTAGAAATTGCTTCCTGTTTTGGAAAGTGCTTCCCTGCAACTGCAGTTAGTCTGTTGGCTCAGATAATGGGAACAGTGAGCAGCTCAGATACTTGGTTAGGTTACCTTGGAATTTCCGTGTCCTGGCAGCTCTTGCCTCAGCAATACGTTTATCCTCTTCAGACTCACTAAGTCTTTCTACCTCTTCCTCTGGACAACTTGAAAGAACACAGTACGCATGTTACACAGGCTTTTCTGTGGCAATAAATCAAACCTGCATTTACTGTTCACAAATGGGCAGCCAGGTCCCATCTGATGTGCCTCGATGTGCATATATTTTCCAGATTTGGGGAATTAAGCTATGACAAAGCATATAAATATCAGAGTAGTGTATAACAACAACAACACAAAATTACATTTGTATAGCACCTTTCACCTCGGGTGGGCGTCCCAAGGCACTGGGACATGTATAACAGAAAATACTGCACTTATATTTCTTCAACGCTGTCTGTACTTATTCTATTTCCATGTTTTTCTTAAGGATTAATATTATCAGTTATTTTCTTAGTTGCTAGTTTATAAATGACCATCATTATTAAACCTTTCATCTCAATAAACCTGCTGCTGACCATTAATATTGCAATCAAAGGAGCGCATAAGGATATATATGAATGGAATAAGAAATCTGCTCCTTGACTTAAGACCTGTTAATTTACACTGTCACAGAATCTCCACATTATTATTTCTTTATGAGGTGAATGGATATTCAATCTATAAAGCACAGGAACAGAATACTCAGAAATATCTCCCTGACTATCTAGGAACTCAGTCTAACATTTGAATTGCATGTTTAATTCTGACCTGCTGGACTCCATAGATATCTCCGAGTCCCTGCAATACAGTGTTGTATTTTATCATCTCTATTTATCCCTATAACTCTTAATCCTAGTCTCAACCAGATGTTCATTGTGCCTTTCATGTTGGATCAATGTCTCAAAGCACTCTACAAAGTAATAATTATAAACACTTTATAACATTTGAAGACAAAATAATAATCATCCTTACATTTGATATAGCAGCTTTCATGTCAATAGGGCATCTTAATGTGCTTCACTAGACATAATGTAAAGTAGAGTGACTGTGTACACAAACAGCCATGAATTGAATGATTTCATCTGTGGGATTGTTGGCCAGGACACTGGAAAAACTCACTTCTCTTTTCAAGTAATGCCGATGGGGTCTTTAAGGTCATCCTGAACACGTGGATGGGATCTCGATTTAACATCTTATTTGAAAGACGGCACCCTCAACAATGCAGCAAAACACTGGAGTGTCAGCCAGCTATACGAGCTGAAGTGACCAATTTTTTTATTTTTTTTATTAAGGGATTATTATCAGGTGTGTGATTTTGCCCTGACGGGAATCAATCCCAAGTCTTTCACTTGCGAGCCAAGTGCTCTAACCACTGAGCTACAGGACAGGAGAAACTGCTCATTTTCCTTTGAAACAGTGGCAGAAATAGCATAAAATGATCTTAGGCCTAAAAAGTAAATCGCTCAAAATGAATCAGGAAATGGGATGATGATTTAGAATTAAATAATAAATAAGACATACATTAATGATGGTTGCTTATAAAGTCTGAAAAAAAAGTTATTTAGAAAAGTATTACATATTGTTATGCAGACAAATCCATAGAAACATGAAATAATCAGTCTGGAAGTATAAAAAAAGCAGAACTGATACCAGACACTAGCTTGCAACTCATTCACTGTAAAATGATTCATCATGTCTACTGCACACAGTAACAGTAGATTGTCTCAATGAGAAAATGCTGGAAGTGTAATAAGGGAGATTTAATTATTTGTTACAGGATTGTGGCATATTCTAACGTTTTGGAATGACTTGACTTAGCCGAATGTAAATCGCATTGTTTTAGTCAAAGAATCTTCTGATTTCCATCCCCATCTTCTGCTTTGCTCTTAACTTACTGCATCCTGACCTTGCTATCAAATGTCTTCAGAAAAAAAACAAGTGAATAAAATCCACCATCCAGTGTTGGGCCATTAATTTAGTGTGACCCAGAAGGTCAGACTTCTACTGCTTTTAACACCATGTTAACCTTGTTAATGATAATAATCATTGCATTTGATATACCGCCTTATCACATCTTCAAGACGTCTCAAAGCATTTTGCAGAATATACCGTAAAGTGAATTGACTGTAAATATTTTGTTGATGCAATCTTTTGATAAACACTATATAAGGGTTACTATACCTCTCCACTGCCAGCCGGATCAATCTCATCCAGGTATTCCTGTCTTCCTTGGAGTTGGTGTGAATTTCATACATTTCAGGTCCAGCAGATGAAGCACTGATCAGAAACATTCCTCGCTCCTCGTTTGCTACTTCTCGGACAATCAATTTCTGCAATGAGATGACTGCGGGCTTCTGGTCCTGAGGCAAATAATTCAGAATGAGATGCTAATGGCTAGGAGCAAAGGTGAATTTTTTTTTAAACTTAGCAATTCTGGCATACGAGAGGCTTTCAGTTATGCAAAAAGGTCAGTAGTTCAGTAGAAAACTTTACATTTTGCTTTTAAGAAATAAATTGCTATTATTTGCTCTTTACCTTCCCCTAAAACAGTCTGAGAGCTGAATACAACTCATTACCTATGGACAGGATTTATCTACGGAAAAGTCCTGCCAATTTAAATGGTTTTCATAGAATCATAGAATTCAACAGCACAGAAGGAGGCCATTCGGCCCATCGTGCCTATGCTGGCTCTTTGAAAGAGCTGTCCAATTAGTCCCATTCCCACGCTCTTTTCCCAAAGCTTTTGTTGTTGCAGAATGTATGTTTTTAAGCAGAGACACTAAGATGATAGAAAATAACACACATCAGACACTCCCCTGATGGAACAATAGGTAAATACAAAGCAGGGTTTTGTACTGAGCCGTACAGGAAGGTTAGACGTTCTATCCTTATCCCTTGCTGAGGTATATTGAAACTCTGCCGGGGTGGCCATGAGAGAAGGGAGCACTATAATTTACCTTATTGACCTGGGGATAGGAAAAATAAATCTTCCAGCAAGCGCTGTTGATAGTAAACCATTTGAGGATGCCAGGTCAAAATAGGTTTGGGCTAAATTGTGCTGGACCCTATCGTTCAGTAGCACACTAAAAAAACTAAAAGGAAACCCATGCATGATGAAGTATGGCGCTTGTGAGAGGTAGCCAACAGCCACCTGTGTGCCACTGCCCGCTTTCAGGACAGGACAACATCTGAAATAAAATTAAAGGAGCAGAGGAAAAAAATATACATTGGCCTCTTGATCTAGAGCAGGGTTGTCCAATGCATTAGCCATATGTGGCAAATTGGGAATCCAGATATGACAAAATTGCGTTTGTGATTAGTAAATAAACCGTCATTGGGCATATGATCTCAATACTTACATTAACATGGTGATCTCAATACTTGTATTAACACGGTGTATGCATGTGTACTTTGACCTTTTTGTGTATTTGTTGGTAAAATGGTTAGGCAAAAAGCAGTGCATGTGAGTCTTTTTTGATTGTTGTGTGTGTTTTACTTTGTTGATTACTGCTTATTGTTTATCTGCTAAATTGGTGTGCAAAACGGGTAAAATGCCAGATTTCAGCGCCATGGAAACCAGGTGCCTTTTTATACAACCGATGCAAGTAACAGCAGAATAAAAGTGGGATTATAAAATAATGAAACATCAAATGAAATCCAGGTTTAGTTCTGATTACCACTTACCACAGCAGCAAATGTATACTTTTGGTCTTTGTCCTGAAGGAAAATCAGCACATCAGTTAGGAGCAGGCCTGTGATATCTGAAACAAAGCAAAATAATTTAAAGCATAGCATAAGAATTCCAGCCATCGACTGCAGACTGCCTTATTGCATATTGTTCACATTTAGGTCCAAAGCAGTGATGTCCTGAAACCTCCTGCTTGTGAAACAAACACTGGTAACCCAATAATTGACAAATGATAAGCAGTGCACATCAGTTGATCAAATAACTGAGGAGGACATCAATTGATCGTTTGACTAACAAGACTCAGAGTTGATATAAAATAATTTACTTTTAGCAAAGATAAGCCTCACCCTCATAGTCACTATTAGTATAAAGTGTCAGCCTAGCCAGTTGGTGGCACTCTCATCTCTCAGTCAAAAGGTTATGGGTTCAAGTCCCACATTAGGACTTTGAACCCACAGTCTAGGCTGACACTCAAACGCAGTGCTTGGGATGCACTTCTTTGGATGAGATGTTAAGCCACTATCCCGCCTGGCTGACTAGATGGGTATTAATGATCCCATGGCACCATTTGAAAAAGAAGAGTTTCTTCCAGTGTCCTGGCCAACAATCCCCCAAATAAAATTGGTCATTCACTTCTTGCCGACTTATGGGCAATGTCATGCACATATTAGCTTCTGCATTCACCTACAAACAAAAGTAACTATATTTCACAATGACTCCTGTGAAGCGTTTTGCGAGATCCTCCCAATGTGAAAATGCTGTATCAACTGCAACAATAACAATAAGAGTGCATTTATAGTGCGCCTTTCACTTCGGGAAGACGTCCCAAGGCGCTGGACAGTTGGGTCGGGACCCGAGCAGGGGGGAAATGATCAGGGTGAGGGGAGGGAAGGGGGGGGAAGGGAGGGAGCAAGGAGGGGGTAGAGAGTCGAGAGGGGAGCTGAAGGCACAGTCGAAGAGAAAGGTCTTGAGACCGGCCTTGAAGGAGGAAAGAGAGGAAGCAAGGCGAAGCCACTGGGGGATGGAGTTCCAGAGCCTAGGGGCTGAGAGTCTGAAGGCCCGGCCACCGATGGTAGGGCGGTTAGGGCAGGGTATGTGGAGCAGACCGGAGCCAGAGGATCAGAGGGTACAGACAGGTAAGTAGGGGGATAGTAGGTCGGAGAGGTAGGAGGGAGCAAGGCCGTGAATGGCCTTGTAGGTGAGGATGAGGATCTTGAATTCGATCCTCTGGGGGATGGGGAGCCAGTGGAGGTGAGCGAGGGTGGGAGTGATGTGGTCCCGAAGTCTGGTGCGGGACAGTACACGAGCTGCAGAGTTCTGAATGACCTGCAGCTTGTGGAGGGAGTGCCGGGAAGTGCACTGCAAGTGTTATTATTAATAATAAATGTGAATGCCTTTACCTTTCAACCGCCCTGTGGCTGTTTTCCAGTACACTGAACCATCATGTAGCAGTTCCCGCTCTCCACTCAGCAGGTCTTGCTTCCGGAATGTGTGGCCATTCTTTAATTTGGCGCATGTCTTGTTTTCAAACTTGTTCAGGATGTCTAGCAGTTTCTGTTCTTTCTCATACTTGTTCACTTTTGTATCCACTGCTGCTATTATGTCCTTGATCAAACTCAGAGATTTGGTCACGTCCTTGTGTTCCTCCGTCCCTTCTAGGAATAACAGAACAAAATAATTTCAGTCATTATTACTCACTTAGGTAAGCCAAGCTAAAGCCTGGATGAGCAAATCTGGAATCAAACTCCCATTCCAGCCAATGTGGGGTTTGATACCTGATATAATTGCAGTGTCTGTCTGAGCTGTATCTAGCATTAGAACCTGCTGCTTATACAACAACAACAACAAAATTACATTTATAGAGCACCTTTCATGACAGGAGGACGTCCCAAAGCGCTGAACAGTCAGGGGTTGGGGCCCAAACATGGGGGAGGGGTGGTGTAGGGGTGAGGGAAGGTAGAGAGGTGGGAGGGCGACCAAACGCACAATCGAAGAGAAGGGTTTTGAGACCGGCCTTGAAGGAGGCAATGGACCGTGGGATGGATTTCCAGAGTGTGGAGGCAGAGATGCTGAAAGCCCGGCCACCGATGGTAGGGTGGGTCGAGCGGGAGACATGGAACGGAGGGAGCAGGCAGGTTGGTAGGGAGTCAGCAGGCCAGAGAGATAGGAGGGGGCAAGGCCATGGATGACCTTGAAAGTGAAGGCAAGAATCTTGAACTCAATCCTCTGGGGGATGGGGAGCCAGTGGAGTCGGGCGAGGGTGGGAGTGATGGGATCACGGAGTCTGGTGCGCGAGAGTACATGAGCTGCAGTTTTGGATGATCTGCAGCTTGCGAAGGGAAGAGTTGGGAAGGCCAATGAGGAGGGAGTTTCCGTAATTGAGCCTAGATGTGACAAGCATAAGGATTATAAGGATTATAAGCATAAGGAACTGAACATCAGTTATCTACTTGCCAATTAGGCACATAGGAACAAACAAGATTAGGTTATTCGACCCATCGAGCCTGTCCTACTATTTTCTAAGATCCGCAAACTCAATTCCACCTCCCACCCTCTTGCCTCAAGTGCTCAAGGATGTTTGGAGTCCTGTAGTGGTTTGAGCACTCGCCTTGCAAGCGAGACACCTGGATTCAATTCCAGCCAGGGCGAAACCTTCGGCAAGTTTCCTTACTCCACACAGAGCCTAATAATAATCCCTCCAAAAAGCAAAAAAAAATTGGCCATTTTCAATCTACGACTGTTTGTGGGACACTGCTGTGTGCAATTGGCTGCTGCTTTTCACCCACAAATATACAGTTAATTCACCTTACAGTATATTCTGTGAAACACTTTGAGATGTCTAGAAGATGTGAAAAGCGCTATATCAAATGTAAGTATTATTATTCTAATGAAGGCTGCTATATAAATGCAATTTGTTATTATTGTTGAGGTCTACAATGCTACATGATAGGGCTGGGACCAGAGACAGTAGCAAATTGTAGTTGCATCTTTATACAATCTTCATTCAGCCCCTTGGGACGCCCTCCTGATGTGAAAGGCGCTTCACAAATGTAATTTTGTTGTTTGTTGTGTACAGCGAGATTATCTGTACTAATTGGGAACTGTTCCAATGTGGATATGCAAACAACATGGCTGTCCTGACGTGAAAGGCGCTATACAAATGTAATTTTTTGTTGTTGTTGGGACATCGTGCAAAATATAAAGTGACTACTTTATAAAGTTCCATCAGGATTGTATGTACTGTAGTACCACACTGGGTTAGTCCTTCTTACTCTCTGCCTTTCTGTCTCTCTGAGTAACCTAATGTTCCAAAAAATGTGCATGTTCAATGAGAACAGTAACACCTGCCCCACTGCCCTGACACACAGACACACACATTGTACTGACGTCTGTAGAGCAGCATGACCCTTCAGGGGAAAGTCAGGAGAGAAAATTGAAGGAGAAAGATTTTAAAAGCCTGGATTTTGGACCCCTGCATGGAACATGAGCAATACTGGTTACAATTGATTAATATTGAAGCACTGTTATGCTTCAGCCCAAATGACATTTAAGACACAAGGAGTAAAATAGGGTGGAATTTTTCTCTTTTATTAAATCACATTATTAAATGCTGGTCTTGATGTGTCAGAGTTGGGAACTAACCTTTTGTGTACTGCAGGATACGCTCCAGCAGGACTGGGTACTTGGTGATCCTCTGAGTGACCAGCAGTATACACTCTGGCACGCCAAGACGTCGAACTAGCAGATTGTTGCTCTGTTGCTACAAAGAATACACAACCATGAGCTACACTGACAGAAGCTGTAATCTTCATCTCAGTTGAGTGCAGTAAAGTGAAGAAAGAGAACTTACCCTGATAAAGTGCTGGAACTTCTTGTTTTGCTGTTGCAATTCTTTGAAGACACTGACTGCTTCATTGTGGTGGCTACAGAAATCTCCGTATGTCTGCTTCATCTTATTGGCATTTTCATCTGAAAACTAAGCATCGTGCATGTTCATAGTCAATTCAACTATTTTATATCACAGATGAAAGCTGGGGGAGGTGGAGAAACATTTTGTTTTCAAAATGTTTACTAGTTTTTAAACTGTGTTGAATCTGAAAGTGTACCAGGTGTACACTGGTGTAAAACCAAAACTGTTTATATTGGTAGCTGTAACAGTATCTCTTTCATTCATGCTTCTGTATCAGATGCACTGTAAAATTTGCCATCTCTGTGATTATCTGCAGACTCTTAATTAAAAATCCAGTGGAAAACCATCGACCGATTCAGTCTCCATAAGAAACAAGAATCATTAGACGAAAGGCCAAGGTCCATCCAGTTCGCCTCCCACCATCCTGGAAGTTGCATTTGCATGTCATGTCCCAATTTTTTCCCAATCCATAATTACAATCACCTTGGAATTAGACCAGAACTGTGACTTCTCTGTGAGAAAGTACTCAATCCTGTAGCGATAAAATCGCAGCTGCCCAAACTGAGCAAGACAGTCAGATAGAACTCGTCTTTACCATGGGAACAGACTTTGTGACAATAAATGAAGGTTTAAATTTCAGTTAGTTTCTGGTTAAATCGACCTCTGAAACATAGAAAGATAATGTCGCAAGTGAAGCCAAATTGGCTGTGTTTGATTGGGCTGTTCGTGGGTTTAAGAGTTTAAATTTATTAATAATAATATTTTTTGTATTTGGTACAGCATCTTATCATGTCAGAAGGACATCTCAAAGTACTTACTGTGAAATGGAGTGACTGTGTATTTGTAGGTAAACACGGTTGCACAATTGCGCACAGCAATATCCCACAAACAGCCATGAAACGAATGATGAATTTTATTTGGGGAATTGCTGGCCAGGACACTGAGAAAAACTTCCTTTAGTTAAATCTGATGATCAGAAATTTGAAGTTTGATATTTAAGGAATGATTTGATACCTTTTGGTCGTTCTGCCCAAGCTTGGAGTTTAATGGGTTTGACATAAATTAAATCGCTCAAGTGTGGTTTGGTCATTCTCTGGCACAAAAATTACAGATTTAGAGATCAGGTGGTTAAAAGTACAAATACTAACAGTTTATGCAAACAAACATAACCATCCCTTAACTTCACTTGGTTTCCATAGCAGACTGGTTTGCATAATACATTGATGACCCAACAATCTGCATCTCAAGTTACACTTGCATTTTTAACCTTGTCCAAAACAACAGAAAGAGATGCTGAACAGAAATGCAATGCTTCCCCAAATGTAAAGGAGATTGGAGGTGTCTCAACCTGCAGTGCAGCGCAATTGTGCAGCCATGGTCTTTTGCACCTTCTTACAACTGGTTACGGAGGTATAAGGTGAGCCTGTTAGAACCTGCCCAGTTGAGTCCAGATTCACTTATAGCTGGTATACCATTTGATATCAAACCAACCTGTGAGAAATAGATCAGCTACTAGTGTTACTTTTAGTCTTTAAATTGTAGATTGTATAGGAGAGTTTGGGTTTATTTATCATTTGGGAAATCTCTGGGTATCCCCCAAGCAAACAGGTGACTATGTTGGCAATCATCATTAGGAAAATTCCAATGTCGCAATATTACTGTCATCTGGGCTATCCTTCTAATAAGATAATAAACCATCTCTTTCTGTTGTTTTGGACAAGGTTAAAGACATTTGAGATCCCTTGACACTATTCAAAAGAAGGGAATTTTATTCTCGAGATTAATTGGGCATTCATTTCGTGTGGGACATTGCTGTGTGCAAATTGTCTACCATGTTTGCCTGTTATTAAGTCGGTTACTACCATTTCACAGAAATTTCCTGTGAAGCGTTTTGAGACTGACATTACAGACACTATGTCAAATGCAAGAATTATTACACAATTTAAAAACATTAAGTTGAAAATAAGATTTGGGAGTTAAAAGAGCTTTTTTTCCACAACAAGGGATAATAGGTTATTAAGGAAGATCATTGAAACAGCTAGTATAAAATTGTTTGAGATGCATTTTAGAAGAGAGCAGGGAATCGGTCAATAGGTGAGGCTGTGACCTTCCTAAAGAGGTGGCTAAAAAACTTTCCCTAAATTTCTATGTTTTTATTTTCTGTGATCAATTATAATTCCTAATTATTTTTGCACTAATTTGTAATGATATTATCAGGGGATATTGGGCATGTCCTTGAATGTCCTTTAAAGCTGAAGCCCAGTTGGGGTGAAGGGGGAGGGCGGAGGCAATTCTTTGCTCATTTGGAAATATATCAAATAGGTGAACACATCTATTTCTCCCATTGTCATGGGGTTGGCGTTGTGAATGGTTTGAGCTCATAAACAACACAATCAAATTCAAGATCCTCATCCTCACCTACAAGGCCATTCACGGCCTTGCTCCCTCCTACCTCTCTGACCTACTATCCCCCTACCTACCTGCCCGTACTCTCCGTTCCTCTGGCTCCAGTCTGCTCCACATCCCCCGCCCCAACCGCCCTACCATCGGTGGCCGGGCCTTCAGCCTCTCAGCCCCTAGGCTCTGGAACTCTATCCCCCAGTGCCTTCGCCTTGCTTCCTCCCTTTCCTCCTTCAAGGCCGGTCTCAAGACCTTTCTCTTTGACTGTGCCTTCAGCTCCCCTCTCGACTCTCTACCCCCTCCTCACTCCCTCCCTTCCCTCCCCTCACCCTGACCATTTCCCCCCTGCTCGGGTCCTGACCCAACTGTACAGCGCCTTGGGATGTCCTCCCGACGTGAAAGGTGCTCTATAAATGGAATCTTGTTGTTGTTGTTGTTGTTGTGGGTGAATTTGCTGAGAATCAAGAGATGCAGAGATGGAGGGAGGGAGTTCAAGAGGCTTGGGTACCCAGAAGAGGGATTTCAATCAGCTGTGCCTGTTGCACAAGCCCTGAGTAAACTGCCTTACAATCAGTCCCACCTTGTTTTCGGTTTTAAACAGTCCCACAAAATGCAACTGTTAAATAAAAGATTAGAATTTCCTCCGTTTTCGGGATATTTAAATGTAACCAATGAAGATCGCTCAACCACCTATGTTTACAGGTCACAACAAAATCTTACAGCAGAAGCTCACCTTTATCAAGAAACAAGAAAAATAGCATTTCCAGACTGACCACATAAAGAGGTGCAAGCACTTTAACAACAACAACTTGGATTTATATAGCGCCCTCCACGCCGGACGGCGTCTCAAGTGCGCTTTACAGTTTCGGATCCCGGGACCGAGCCAGGGAGAGGGGGAGGAAGGTGACCAAAGGCGCGGTCAAAAAGAAAGGTCTTCAGCAGAGCAGCACATTAGCATGCCAGGCACATCAGTCACAGGAAGATGCATCAAACTGAGAACAAAGGATAGCTGGCAATGATTACAAATTGCAATATGCACAATATACAAGGCCGGCAATGAAAACAGAATACAGGGGTTCTGATGCCTTTATAAACTCCGAGAACAAAACTTGTTTTCAATATCAGAACTTCAAGCTTCAATAACCTCTTTGTAGCTCTGCCAATTTTTTTTATTATTATATTTCATATATCTGGATTGAAATTATAATTCTCTCCCCCCACCCATACTCCCTAAAGTGCTGTGGTCAAAGTTCAAAGGCACCAACCATTCCAGTTCCTCACCCAAGTAGCCATTCTTCACATGTGAGCCAGTCTCTTATCTATTGACTGACTAACTTATCCATTGTCAAGGAACTGATGCCAAATGTAGCACCCAAGTACTCATCCCAGCTGAGATCAACTAATTCAGCACAACCCAGGATGAAACAAAGGACTCTGTTCAGCTTCTGATCAGAAAGCAACTTCATCAACAGCCATTGGAGGAGCTTTGGTTTCTGTCTCTTTATACAAGGCACGAACTATTATTTTGGCTGTTATGTATTTTTTGCTGGGATTAATCTTCAGCTGTTAGCAAGTGACATGTATGAATGACACTAATAATAAATAATGCAGATAAGAGGGATCAGTGGTCCTGTTCCACAGTATCATATACCTGCAGTGTATTAAGAAGATCCCATTGTCTGAGATGTTTTGACATCATGCATACATGTGTAATCAAAAGCTTTGAGACATTAAAGGGTACTTTGCTGTTTCATTACCCCAAGCCATTTTAAAAATGATTCATTCTGTTCTTCTGTGGTATGTAACCGTTCCTTGTCTGAGACATCAGGCAGGCGACCGCTTCAGGGCACTAACTCAGCAAGCAGCTGTGAGTAGGTGCACAAGACGACTGCAAGTCAATTCATCTTCAATCTACTTTCCACAACATGTGGCAAGTGATATTTAGCTCACTGATTTCCATACCGAGGTATCAAACAACTCAGTCACAATCACCATTTGTTGAATGATCGTCAGGAGATGGGAACCGTAATTATAGATTATACAGTGGGGGGAAGGCGGAGTAAGCAAAAAATGTTGAGAAATAGCAATGAGAGTATTATAAATGGTACATCATGCTGAAAAAAACACATCTCGGACTGCAGTGTACACTCTCTCTTCCCTCTCCCCTGCTTCTCCTTCTTCGCAGGTATATCACGCTGACTCCACCCTGAGAATGCCTCAGAGCTCAGTTCTCACAGATCAACTGAACCTACGTTGGGTTTTCAGCAATGGACACACTTCACTGATTTTCTGATCTCAAGCACAACTTATGCTGCTGTTTTCTAATGAGTGCTCTTTAAGCCGCAGGGAGTGTTACATTGCAGCAACTCCATTTATTTTCCTCTTGACTTCCAGATGGGTCTCCGTGCTTTCTGAGGCACAGAAGCTATTAATTATATTTCAATTTAAATATTTCCTATAACTTGAAGGCAATTGCGATTGTTTCCTTCTCTTGCCATACCTGTTGCATGAGAATGTTGCCGATTCTGCTGATAAAGAAATTCCTTTCACTGTCTTCAACAAAAGACTCCCGCCGCCTCTCTTTCAAACAGAAGAAGAAGTTCTTGTGAATTTCTAAGAGCTCGTCTAAACAAGGAAATATTCGGTCGATGGTGCTGTGATCAAACTGCAGATCTTCCTTCATTCCCTTCCTGAAGATTTCTGACATTATCTCCAGGATCTGAATGTGGTGCATCTCAGTTTGCATGAGCTCTGCAGGTGAGGTGAAGAAGGATAATTAGAGACAAATGCTGGATATTCTTCCTATGCTGTTGCTTTTTCCACCAATTTTTCTCCCTTCCTGACTATTTTCCTCCTACAGCTCCACAGGCACCAATCGTCCTCCAGTACTTCACTCAAGTGTGCATTTATGATGTAGTGAGCCTCAACAGTTTGTGAGTGTTGGCAAGCTAGTCAACTCCTAGGAAGGGAAGGTAAATGCAACATAGCTGAGGCTGACACACACTTTCTTTTTAGTAGAAGCCTCTTAATTGACTAAAGAGCACAATTGTGTAAATTGTGTAAACCCTTGCTGACTTTCCCCTGCCCCAACTGCTACACTGGGTGAAATCAGCTAACTCAGCACTCAGCAATATGCATCATCTGGTTTTACCCACTAGAGCAGTTAGGTTTAGAGTTTTGGTTTAGAGTTGCAAGGACCAGGAAGTTTTTCTTTACTCTGAGGATAATTAACAACTGGAACAGGTTACAGGGAAGGGTGGTTGAGCCAGAACACTGGACTCATTTAAAAAGCAGCTTGGTAGGTGCTGTGATGGGAGGGTGATAGGATGCATACTTTGGATGGATAAGATCAGATTGGCCGAAGGGCTTTCTTCATCCAAATCGATCTAGTGAAAATATAACCTCTTTGTATTGGCTACACTCCCTCCAACTGCTTCACAAGGCCTGTCCCTTCCCTCTTCACATGAGGTAACAAAGGCTGCCAGCATCATTAGAACCAGATCACCATATCTCAGAAAGACTTGAATTAAAATTAAATAAATGGCAAAAAAAAGTCAGAATTAATCATCCACTTAAAAAAAACAAAAGAAATAAACTTTGACTTTCCTGAATATCACTCTGCTTATAATAATTTGCTAATAATTATGAAACTGTAGAACTCACCATAGATCACATCTTGCCTCTTTATTAAATCCTTCTCTTGTTTATCACAAAATGTAGGATCGACAGTAAGGCTCCAGGACTCAGCTTTAAACTCCTGTGCATCGCTCTCAAGATCTCCACGCATTGAGGGGACAACGTTATCTATTAAAAAATGTAAAAACCATCAACTTTTAAAAAAAAATGTTTTCCTTCACAAACAACATAATAAGTAGAGTAACATGGTAAAATATTAACAACCAAACCCCATGGCCTTTCCCCATGCCCCTGTAGCTGACTTTTTAAGGTAGTTAAGGAAGAGTGAGAAAACAAATAATTTTGCCATCTCTTACATGAGGATTTAACATTACAGATCAATTACTTATTGGCTAAAACAAAAACTGCAAATATTTCATAAATAAATAGAGAAACCTCCAGATTAAAAAAAAGCATAGAACACGACTTGATGAAAAAAACATGCTGGCATGACTGCAGGGTCTCTGAGGCATCAAGTTTTCCTGGAACAGATTCAATAGATCCATATGAAATCTACTTATTGGGTCAGTGAAATTTCCAGCCCATTTGGGTTTTGCATTGTTTACTGTACCTTATGTAATACAGAGCAATCACATTATAACCTATTTGTCCGAGTCCAATATCTCAGAGGCCAGTTAAACAAAGCTTGAACAACTGACTTGCAGATCATTGGGTTGCTGCTAACGTCACTTTCTATGTGCTGTCCATGTACACTATGTGTAAAGAATTCTGCTAAAGACATTTCCTTGGCGAAGTGATGTAGGCAGCACTTACTGCGCATAAGGTACGTACGCAGTGTATAAGTAGTGATGTTTATGGCACTGACTGCATGCAGCACAAATGCAACCTGACAACTTGTAATGTGAAAAAGCAAAAAGTCAGTGCCAGAAGCCAGGTTTACAGCATAGCCAACCCATGGTCTGAATGAAGCCATGTTCAACTGAGGTGCATTCTAAAGGAGCTGCCTATAGCGCATTTTCCTAGGTAGATGACTCTGGAGCGACTCCCCAAATCCCTCTGCCTTGTGATCTCTCTCTGGTTTCAAAACACCCTTAAAAGCTTACCTCTTCAACCATGCTTTCAGTCACCTTCTTCCTACCCCCTTCCCACTATGTTCAGTGATTCACAATGTGCATGTAAAGCACTTTGAGACGTTTACCTGACATGTAAGGCTCTATAATAATCGCTATAATCTATAATCAAATTGTTGTTGTTCAAAGTCACATGCGAGCTTGGCTCAGTTGATAGCACTCTCACCTCCTAGGGAGAAGATTGTGGGCACAAGTTCCACAACAACAACAAGATTTCATTTTGTAGAGCGCCTTTCACGTCGGGAGGACATCCCAAGGCGCTGGACAGTTGGGTCAGGACCCGAGCAGGGGGGAAATGGTCAGGGACTTTGAACTCAACAATCCAGGATGACAATCCAGTGCCTTGTTGGGGCAGTGATACATTGTTAGTTGTGTCAATCTTTCGATGGGATGTTAAACCAAGTTTCTATCTGCCTGTTTAGGTGGATATTAAAGATATTATGGCACTGTTTGAAAAGAGAATTAAATTGATTTATTGAGGTTTCTTGGCATTCACCTACAAATAAAGTTACTAAATTTTACAGTCAAACCTGTGAAGAACTTTGAGACTTTGGCAATGTGATAAGGCATTATAACAAATGCAAGGATTGATTTAAGAAAGCTGATCTCTGAATTCCTAGAGTAACAGCAAGACTGCGGACTCAAGATAAAAATAATTTCAGCCCATCAAGTCTGCTCTCTCCACTGATTATGCACAACTTTCCCCATTGTGGACAACACTTTAGCGTTGTCCTGGAGAAAAGTCTGCATAGAATCGCTCCAATTCCCAAACGTAATAAAAATAATAATCCTTGCATTTGATATAGCGCCTTATCACATCATTGAGACATCTCAAAGGCTTCACAGAACATGTAGTAAAGTCGATTGTATATTTTATGGGTGAAACGCAGCAGCCAATTGTGCAAAGCAGTGTCCCACAAACAACCGTGGATTGAGTGACCAAATTTTTTTTTTTTTGAAGGAATATTACCCCTGGAAAGCAATCTGCCAGGTTCCTACATACTGCTAGGTAAACAGAGGCATGTGGAGTAAGTAAACTTGCCTAAGGTTTCGCCCTGCCCAAACCGAACTCAGGTCCTCTCGCTTATGTAGCGAGTGCTCAAACCAATATGCTACAGTGATTAAGTAAAACCACAAAATCCATCTATTCCCATCTCTTCACTAAGCAATTCTGGTCTCCATCCCTCCATAGACAGTTTCCTTTGTAATAAAGGAATAAGAAATGTAATCAGACATTTGTTTTCAGGAAAAGTGTGATTGCCATGTGGAACAGGCCATGAATTTCTGAATGCAACTAGTCCCTTTTTTGTCACCCAAAATACTTCATGGTTATTAGATTTCAAGATGGATATATTCAAGGAATCACGTGGGAAATTGGATTGGGTAGACCGGATGAATCGATAGGCTGCTCCCTTGTGAAATTACTACTGTACATACAAAAGACAGACTACATTAGCAGTCATTTACTGTGCCTCTACATATAGAGCACAGTTCAATCAGAAATGCTCACCCTCCAGCGCAGATACTTCTGTTGATGGAGATGTGCCCATTGTTTGGAGTAATTCCTCAGACTGGGATCTGTTCCTAGAAGTATAGGGATCCATTTCTACATCCATAGACTCCATGATTCTTCTGAAATAACCAAAATGAACATTTGCCGTACTGAACTACTTTAACAAATGCAGCTTCTATTATCTAGAGGAATGTTTCAACGAGTTTCTACGTACCTCTCGATACTAATACTTGAAGCACTCTTAGATAAAGGCTGCAGTGAGCTTTCTCGTTTCAGTGCAGATATTCCAACAGGCAGCGAGGATGAGGAGGTGTTGAGCGATGAGAAGGATGACTGTGAAGTTGAAACTTCTTTGATTGAGGCAGCTGTCGACACAACAGATATTTTGCAGGTTTATATTCTGGTAGTTCAATTTTTTTCTACTTCCTTTTAGTCCAAAACCATAAATTGCATTGAGCTTGGGGACCCCAGAGTGTAAGCTGGGGTACCGCTGACATTTAATCAGCTAAAATCCCCATAAGAACACTGAATGCACTATCTGGCAAGTTTTCCCCGCTTACACAGTTAGGACCACCATTGGGGTTTTGGCTTGCAGACTCAACAGGAGCCAAGTGGGATGAATCCCTGCTTCTTTAGTTCAGTTTTAAGGCTATATGGTACTTTCGTTCTCTCACCATCATGATATAAGTCGAATATCCTGATTACATCCCCATCATTTTAAAGTCAAATTTTATACACAAATCAACATGCAACCAATATTTAATTAAATTTGTTGACAATAGATTCATGTTATCTGTGAATGATTAATAATTGCACCCAAATCCTTCAGTGTTAGAATACAGTGTTCCGTAATAATAAGTCTTACATTTCACATAGTGCCTTATCGTGTCTTTGAGACGTCTCAAAGTGCTTCACAGAATACACTGTAAAGTGAATTGACTATTTTTGGTGAGCAATTACATACAGCAGTGTCCAACAAATAGTCGTGGATTGAGTGGCCAACTTATTTATTTATTTATTTTGAAGGGATTATTACCCCCAGAAAAGTGACCCAACAACCAATTAATAACAGGGTTCCTACTTACTGCCAGGTAAACCGAGGCGTGTGGAGTAAGGAAACTTGCCTAACATTTCGCCCTGCTGGGAATCGAACCCAGGTCCTCTCGCTTGCGAGTGCTCTAACCACTAAGATTCCTCTTCTCATCTGAAATGACCAATATATCTAACAGCGATTGTTTTTCACTTAAGTTGTGCTTATGGTTTTGTTGCCACTGTAGTTTATGCCTGCAGTGGCAACAAGATCACAACTCCAAATTGGAATTTCAGCTTTTTTCTTTTTTTCTTTCTGCAACTACAGAAAGCAATTTAAGCAATTGTAAATACACAGGTGTTAACTTCACACATTCTCATATTGAACTTCTCATACTCACACTGCAGAGAGTGTGTTGGTTTATTTCGCGATATCATCTGGTATCTATCTTGAGGTTTCTGCTCAAATAAAATCACAAATATTGCAAAATAAAGAGAATGGTCTATTAAGGCTGAAGCAATTCATTTGCAGATTAGAGCAACACACTGAGCACACAACACATTCATTTCCCTACACAAAAACAATCTTCCACTTCACACATTTTAATGTCTCCACAAGTACTTGGATCAAGGTGTGATTTTGACACCCCCAAAATCTTTTGTCGACTTTAATTAGATGCTCTTAAGAACATGAGGTTGCATGAAACCAGAAAACAACATTGCGATTTCCATCTGTCCTGTTCCAAATTGAAGAAAAGTTTTATCAATGATAAATAATCCTACATTATACTGTGTCAGTTGAGCTCAGTTCGTAGCATTTCTGCCGCTGGGTCAGAAAATTATAGGTTCAACCTTTATGTTAGACCAGGAGCTTATAGAATAGGCTCATATTTCAGTGAAGTACTGAGGAATACTGCTTCAATCAAGATGTTGAGTGCAGGAGCGACCTGAAGATAGGGAAGGAGGAGGCAAGGCAGAGGGATAGAGGAAGAGTGTTCCAGAGTTTTGTCCTAACCTCCTTCCAACGCACCCACTCCCTCCTCTCAGCTGGCTCCGGCTGCTCCACGTCCCCCAACCCACCCGCCCCACCATTGGCAGGAGAGCCTTCAGCTACTCTACCCCCAAACTCTGCAATTCCATCCCCCAATCACTCCGCCTCGCCCCCTCCTTAGCCTCTTCAAGTCCCGCCTCAAAACCCTCCTCTTCAACCATGCCTTCGGTCACCCCCCTCCCCTTCCTTCTCACTCCCTGACCCCAGCTCGGGTCTGAAATCTGTAAACTGTTCAGCGCCTTGCTGTAAACTGTCCTCCCGACGTGAAAGGTGCTATATAAATGTAATCTTGTTGTTGTTGTTGCTGATAGTGGCTAAAAGCAAATTCAGCACCGCACATGAGAATTGAGGTTGGTGTGTCATGGAGCTTGGTATTTTATACCTAATGCTTCAGTGATTAGAGTCGGGGCTTCTCGAGTCGGGAGGACAAAACCAGTATCCCGTTTATATTAACAAATTTAAAATACGCACTTCTCAAAATAACTTTAAAATATTTAATGGACACAAGCATATATTTTGATGACACCCCAAAGCCTTAAATTAAGTCGGAGTCGTAATACATAAAATGCTGGCACTTACGGTTTGAGCAGAGGAGCAAGCTGACCCTCTTGTTTGTTACAAGTCACTCCAAGGCAACTCTCCTGCCTACTCAAACACCTAGACTTTTATTCCCTTGTGATTGGTGATTGGCCTCTCACACTCACAATACACATGCATACAGACAATAAGTTTCCATGTAAATCAGGCCTCCTCCAGACAATCGCATCCTTTAACAGTTCCTGCTACCTGTCGGGTTTAAATGGCCCCAAACAATACCGTGCAAACAACAAAGGCAACTTTCCAATAGACATCAGTCTACATTCAAACGAGTTTGCAGTTTCCCTGGTCATGATGTCACCACCGCCACAGGTGGAATTGATGACCTGGATGTCAGCCACATTTTAGAGCAGGACATTGTCTGACAGTGAACGCAGAAGCGCTGACCAGAGATTGTCCTCCATTATAGCTCTGGTTGGGATTTTATGGACCCCAACCACAATGAAGTTCGATTGTATATACACACACACACAGACACACACACAGTGTTTTACCTTGGTACACATGGGAAGAGAATCTTTGCAGTTTTTATGGACATTCAAAGTACAATCTGAAAGAGAACAAAGGTAATTGTTTCCTAAAAAATTTGTGTAAACAACATTCTGTATCTTGCAGGTTTACATCATGGCATAGTGAACTGTTGGAACTTTTTCCAGCAACGGACTGGAACGACCTTAAGTCAAATGCTTGGAACTCACTGAAGCATTGGAGCATATCTTTTCCTGCAACAACCTTGTCACAAAATGGACACTGCATCGCTCCTGAAAGAGTCCCTGTAATAAAGTGATGTCCGTTGCTCCATTTCTCTTTCTCTTTGGTATCTTTGTCCTTATTTTTGCCCTGTTAAAATAAGAGTCAGAACCAAAATTCAGATTTTATAGAATACACCTCATGACCCAGCAGATGTTTTTGGCAAATTACCTCATGCAAGTGATTGTTTTACAGATCAAAGGAATTGTTCACCCATAGAATACAGTCACTACATTTTATAGTGAATCCCTAAGACGTCATCCTGACATGAAAGGCGCCATATCAAATGCGAGGATTATTTTTTTAAAAAAATTATTGTATTGTTGAAGATGTAAACCCTTTCATTATTTCTTAACTGTAATCTGAGTTAAGTGGAGTGTTATCTATGCTCTGCTTATGCAAAGGAACACATTTTGCTATAAGAAAATGTTCAAACATTTCTTTGAAAATCTCTGTAATTAGGGTTTGACGCCCAAGAGAAATTCTTCATCCTGTTTGTTATCTCATTTTAGCACACACAAAAAAATCACTGTTTATCAGCAAACAAGTCACTTATGAACCAGTCATGGTACAAGTTGAGCTTGGTGGTAAGCATCAGTGAGTTCAGGAGCTGAGTCCTCATCTACCAGAGATGCAAACTCAGAGTGAAAGCCTTCAATAAGGAGAAGTAGAATAATGGAACATTTTGATGCGTGTGTAAAAGAGCTCTTAAATAAGTCTGTCAGTGTTTTAAAAGGAACAAAGTGGAGGAAAATAGGTGGATTAAAGGGAATTTACCTGTTTCAACAGGTTTGAACAGGTAAATTCCCTTTAATCCATCTATTTTTCTCCACTTTGTTCCTGAAGGGATTCAGTTTTGTTTCCCCCTCTTAGTGAGGTAAGGTTCCTCACTAGGCGTTTACAGCGCCTTGGGACGTCCTCCCGACGTGAAAGGCGTTCTATAAATGGAATCTTGTTGTTGTTGTTCCATGGCTACTATTCACGTGCAAGTTTTGAACCATGAGTGGTCCAAGATTGTCCCGTGGAAAGGATGCAGCATAAATGCAAGTTGTTATTGTTGCTGAGTGTTGGGAGGCTCTTTAATAACAGGTGAGACATTAGCTAAAGCTCAATCCTGTCCTCACTCAAAGATCACACACAGACACATTCCAGCAGAGTTTTCGGGATAGCAAATGGGAGCAGGAACCATTATGAGTTTCCTCCTCCATTATCCATGGGAGCTGACCTCAATCATAGACTCCAATTGTTTCCCGTACTGGACCTTTTACCTGACAGCACATTTTACTGTCCAGCTTTCCAGCCTGTAAAGTTGTAACCTTCATAACTTGGGCCATTGGAGAAGCAAATACAATTTGATGTATTATGTTATAGCACTTTTTTATGTATTATATAAATCCATTCAGAGTTTCATATTTATTCTAAACTCTTGGCAGGATTACCTGTTCACAGAGAGTTGAGTCAGCGACTAACGTGACTGTAAAATTTAGTAAGCAGACCAAGGTAATTATTAACGCCTCAGGCACACATTCAGAAAAACTGATAGCACTGGTTTCAAGATCGGAGGGAAAAGAATTCTGTTGAATAGAAGTGTTACAAGCAAAATTCCCAAAGATATCACACAAACAATTTTGGTTTGGTTAGTTTCACTATTTTTACAATGTATCGGGAAATTTTCAAAGTTTCTCAAGCTCTGAAAATGCACTGGTTGAAGGATCACAGAAATCAAGCTCAGCATGTGGTCTATAATGTTCTTTAGTGGATGTATCTGTGATCATTCTCAATAAAATGGACAATTGAACCCAGTCTAGAACAATGTCAATTCTGCAACATTTCACCCATTCTTATGCTCCCCATTAACTGCTTCTGAGATACCCCGTCACCAAGTGTATGTTTCATTCCAGATGCCCAGACAACTATGGCCATGTATCTGGCATGCACGGAACTAATAAGCTACAGCATAGATCCAACAATGTTCATTCAAGCCTTGCTCACATGGGAGAGATAGGAAGTAGTTTCACGCTTTGCCTACCTGACGATATTCACATACCACACATCCCATTCCACTGCTCAAACAGAAATATTTCACATTTTTCTCTTTCTGAGCTTTCAGCAAAGTAATGAGTTTCTCACATTAGAAATCTAATCAGTAACCAGAAGGCTGTGAATTAATCTCACTGCAAGTCTGGAGTTTAATTCTGGCATCTGATGGGTTTCAAAAGCATACCACTGGGCTAGGAGCCAAGAGTTGGGAACTGAGCTGAAATAATGGTAAATCAAGCATTTATCTCCCTTGAGAAAGCAAATCATCTCCCTCTGCTCATTTCCTCCTCCTGCTCTTAGCAAATGGAAAGCTAAGATAAACACATACGCCTGGTTTGTAGAATAACAACTTGCAGTTACATAAAGCCTCACACATGGCAATATGAATCACCAAGCAAGGAGAGTGCATTGATCAATGGCACAATTAAAGAGATATATTTTTAAGAGGGGTTTAAGGCAAGGACAATAGGAACTCCAGAGATCAGAAGCATTGTGGCTGAAGGCTCAGCTACCGATGGAAGTGCGAAAGGACGAAAGGACTGAGGAACAAAAGGTGGACCAGATTTGGAAGAATGGACTATAACGGGCAAAAGAATAGGACCACAGGAGATGGCAGAAGTAGTGCGGGGGAGGGGTAAGATTGTGATGGGTTTTAAAGGGAGATTCTAAAGTTGATCTGCTGGCAGCCAATAATAATAATAGGTGGGCCAATACCTAAATACAACAGACTGGGCAAATCTGTAATACTGTTTACAAGTTTAGTCAAAACCACTCAAGACTTTGCTTTCCCAGTAACATTAAGAGATGGTTGGAATCCCTAAATAAACTGGCAAAGGTGAAAAGGATGCACACAAAGCAGAAAAAATACGCTGTCACTAAACTTTACAATACATCCTGTGAAGTGCTTTGTAACATCTTGATGACATGATAAAGTGCCATATCAAATGCAAGGATTTTTATTATTATTTATTATTATAAACGAATGTGTAAACTGGAAGCGAAAATGGATCACAAACTCAGCAGGGAGACTTGCTTAACTGTTTGTAGACATTTCAAAGCAATGAACCAGTCACAAACGTAGTAGGACTGAGCCAAAATCTGAAGAGCCTTAAACAAGCAACTTGAAGAATTGACATATCTATAAAAGACGAGATGAAAGTTAGTGTTAAGAGTAAAGAGTTCAACAAAATAAATCCCCATCCACTAGGACTCTAACTTGCAAGGAGCATGGACATGAACACATATTTCATGGTACCATCTTCACCCTTTCGTCTTAGCATCAGTGATAAGCAGGAGGCCATAGACCTACATAAAATTTAAGGTAAAAGTTGTGACATTATCTACAAGGATCTAAAATGTATTACCCTAATGACCAACTAGGCATGAAAACGAGTGCTGCTCCCACGTTTCTAACCCTTGCACTAAGTGTTGAGTACTGTATTGTTCTATGGGTAACATGCATCCCAAACTGCATAGGGAAACATTATTGAGTAAAAAGGGGTATCATGCATGGGAGCTGAGGGGCCAAAATCTAAATGGGAACAGGAGCTGTTAAATGTAATAGCAATAGCCAGGGGTTTATGTGGAATTTTATGGTTGAATTTTTACCAGGAACTGGGCTTGGAGCCTGAGTGTCTCTTGTTCTGGCCATAGAGTTTTAGGACACATTTTCCGGAAAACAAGCATGTAATATATAACGAACAATACAATACTGGAAAATGCTTCACAAAGAAGAACAAATAATAAAATGCTGGATTGATCACCTTGCCCTTATTTCGAGTGCTGGTCATTCTGCTCTTGAGGAAGCTGAAGGTCCGACTCACTTTACATTTTTCAGTCTCCGATTTTGATGGAATAATATACTTGTCCCATTCCTCCTCTTCAATTCTGCAGAAAGAATACATTTAGGCCAAGTCCTGATGAGGGATCAAGAGTTCAGACCCTTACTCTCAGATTTCCTTTTCCCCCTAAAACTGACCGATGTTCAAGTCTATTTATGTTTTGTATACAATTCAAATGGGTCTTATTTTGAACCACACAATTGATGGCACCTCAAACTCCGTTAGGTTCCGAAGTGACTTAAAGATTGCTACATGTTATATCTTGTTAGAATCACTGATCACGTACAAAATAATTACTTATTGCAAATCATCTCTTTATTTAATTTCTGTGATGTTTGAGGCTCTACCTCTCAACCGCAAACAGTCTAAAAAACCAGATCTACTGCATGTGCAATTACATAAGTGAATCCTTCAAGGGCCTGAAATTCCTCTGTTCCCTGAGGTTAATGAAAATGTAGACATGCGTAAACAGGGGCAGAAAATTGAGCATTCATACTAACAAATAAGCATGTTAAGGTCTTAAGGGCCATTAAGGAGGAATTAATTCAAAAATTCCATCATTCAGAAGGCACATCGAAAACTGAATTTTAGATCCAGTAAAGCGCTGGGGTCAGTTAAATTGCAGAAATGATGTACAAGTTACATTAGTGGGACAAAAGGGAATTGTACAGATATTAATGGCTGAGAACATGCATTTAACAGTATTAGTAGGCATTTGGAATTCCAGAAATGTTCATGCACCACTTATTTCCTCTATATTCTTACAGGAAAACATTCCAGCAATTTCAAAATTACTGCACAAATCTCCCACTTTGTGAGAAGTCGGGTTATGATATGATAAGCTTTCCACTGCACAGATCCAACAAAACTAAATCTGCACTAATAACTTTAAATATGTAAATGAAAAGTAGAGAACATGTCTATTATGCATTTTAAATAGAGATTAGCTAATTACATTATTGGATCACCTTCCAGTGATATTCCAGTAAGAGCTAACTGTACAAGAAATGTATACAAATATAAAAGCAACCCTTTAATGCCACTACAGGATTTCAGTGTGCCACTGTCAGCAGCACCATATACGATAATGTTACATCTCAAACCCTGCAAATGAATCTTATACTGTAAATGTTATGTACAAAAGTGTTCAGCCCATCATATATGCTGGTGTTATTCGCTCTAATCTGCTATGATGCCAATTCTCTGATTGTCATGCCCATTTAATATTACTTTTCTTCAAGTATTTATCCAAATCTCTTAAATACTGTTTGGGTAGTCCTGCAGCTCAGTGGTTAGAGCACTCTCTTCACAAGCGAGAGACCTGAATTCAGTTCCCGGTGGGGTGAAACTTTGGCCAAGTTTCCTTACTCCACAAGCCTGACAATAATCCTTCAAAAAAAATAATAAAATTGGTCACTTCAATCCATGACTATTTGTGGGACACTGCTGTGCACAATTGGCTGCTGCGATTCGCCCACTAAATATACAGTGAATTAATTTTACAGTACATTCTGTGAAGCCCTTTGAGAAGTCTCGAAGACATTAAAAGCGCTATATCAAATGCAAGGATTATTATTATTTATTTTATTTTTATGGTGTCAGCTTCAACAGCCATTTTTGGTAAAGTATTCCACATTCTAAAAATACTGCATTTCCTCAAACCTTCCTTTTTTCCTTCTCGTAGTGATCCTTAATTTATGTCCTTTAGTTACTAACTCACCAGGCAGTAGAAATATAAAGCGCAAATTTCTATCTAGTCTTAACCCGCATTTCATCATAAAATTTAATATCAGGCAGAACGGAGGACAATTCTTAAATTCAGAACTTGTGTTTTCTGCAGTTCTTAAGAAGAACCTGCTTCCAAATTAAGACAATTCTATACAATCTTACATTTTAAGGTTAAATGGTTTTACAGTGTAAGACTAGGTAAATTTTGGGCAATAGTTTCTCTCTTTACTCAATTGAAACCACTTAGAATTTTAAAAATTGCAATATTCTGTAATTTGACATGCATGTTTCAGCCTCATAAAGAGATACAACCATGGAGTTTCAACCCATAATTTGGTTTAGGAGGTTGTATCGCTGATTTATTCCTTACTGCATTGCACTCTGGTGCAGTTTGAAAACATACCAAGGTCAAGGAGTACAGTTCACGTATTTGTTCATACAATTTAATTTGACTTAAAGGTCTACCCAATGGAGTTTGGAAATTATTTTTAAGGTCAGCAATCAGGCTGTTACTATCAGCAAGTATAGAATTAGACTTGTTTGTTGCTATTGGGTAAAACATTTCCAGTGCTAAAACATACCTATCCACCACTTACATCAGTGCTTACCTTAGATGTACAATACAAAATTACATTTGCACAGCACTTTTCATGTCGGGAGGACGTCCCAAGGTGCTGGACAGCCAGGGATTTGAACCTGAGCTGGGGGTCGGAATCAGGGAGGATGGAGGGCAGGGAGGGTAGGAGGGTGGCCGAAGGCTCGGTCAAAGAGGAGGCTTTTGAGACGTGCCTTGAAGAATATAACAGTGTATATCATAGTCATGCACATATCTTCAAGAGTAGAAGAACAGTGCAAATGTTTAGAGTTGCAAAGGGCAATTTCAGGACAGATACCAGGAGTTTTCTTCACCTAACAGACAATTAATAACTGTAAAGGTTGCCAGGAAGGGTGGTTGAGGCCAGGGCATTGGACTCATAAACACCAACAGCATGATGCTCTGAAGGGAGGACGGTTGGGTGGGAATTCTGTAGGAATGAGTTCAGATGGGCCAAAGCGATCTTCTTCATCAAAACTAATCTTGTGATAATCGGTACTAGCATTCAATTCAAATGTTATCGTTTGAAGTCATAATCCCTCGCGTTCCTGTTAGAAAACTAGAAAATGTTTGTAGGAAAATACCCAAACACAAAGTTAAATATGTTGAACGCTGCCTAAATATTCATCCAAACTTTCAAAATCAGTAACAGATTATAAACCTCTTTCACAAATGTTTTCTGGAAATAAAAGGTTTGATTATACTGAACTCTACTAGAAGTCAAGGTGCCTTTTGTTTTGTTTACTCAACTATCATTTTTATATTACACTTCAAAATCATTTTTTATGCCTTTCATCATTACTCCAAAAGTCTTGCACTTCACATTAGAAGTTTTTTTCTTACATAGATAAACCTAAATTGTATTGCTAAACATGTGAACTACTACAGAGGAAATAAATTGATTGCAAAGATTACATTAAGGCTAACAAAACTGGAATTCCTACAAGTGGCATTGAGGGATATTTGGTACTCCAAATTTTGTTACTGTACCTTCCGAACGTCTGTTAAATGGGCTGTGTGCATTTTTAACAAAAACAGAGGAGTTTCAGGCCCAAGGCCTGTTTGACACAGTTATGAAATATTTCTAGGACTAATGCTAGTGAAGTCTTGGCAACACATCTTACATCTAGCGAAGTAGTGCACAGAATGGCACAGAAATGACACAGAATGGCAGCAGCTATTGGAAGTGAGGCATTGGTTTAGAAAGGGAAGGGTTAGCAAGTAAAGCCACTAACAGGTTGACGGTACATGACAAATTGCTACCACACACTTATTCTTCAAAGGCTAATATACCTTTCAAGAACTGAAGTAGCATTAGTATAAGAATGGGCAACAAACGTCCCTATAGGCCTGACGGTACATTTGATAATTTTGATTTTGATATATTTTTATTCGTTGTGCATATATGTATGCTGATCTTTTAATAAGCTGGCTGTGGAAACTCGCATATAATGAACCAAATCTCCCAGAGAGTTTGTTTAGACTAAAGCAACTGGATTCAAGGGCGACAGCAACTGAACTGTGCAAGGGAAGGAAAAGCATGCACCACGTGAAATAATATTTCAAGTTCTTTGTTTATTGAGCAAACTAACCAAAGCTCAAAATCCCCAGCCCAGGAAGGAACTGATGGTCTCAGCAGTGCTGCTACTTGCTGTGCATGTACTGCACGTTTTCCCCACTAAACGTGCAGTATAAATCAGTGCTGAAGTAGCGCGAATTGTGCTAGAGATCTGCTTCTCACGCCACTTGGAGGTGGTGCTTTCAGAAGCACTGTGATTCTCACCCACACAGTACACATGCAGTGTATTCACACTGGGCTATTCCTCTGGGCACTATTTGAAGCTCTCACATGTCCACTGAGTCACCGAGGAGCTTTTAGCTGATTGTTTTTTAGTATTACTGAAGAGCTGGATTATGCTGACTCTTCAATAACATCAACAACATTTTAATGCTCTGCTCACTGTTGTCCTGACAGACTGCCTGTCGGACATCAAGTCCTGGATGAGGGCAAATTTCCTACAGTTGAATGTGAACAAGATTGAGGCCCTCCCGATTGGCTCGCGCCAGCGCCTCAGCACCTCAGGCTCTGGCAGCATCAACCTCCATGGTTGCACACTCCAACTCACCGCCAGTCAGGAACCTAGGTGTCTTGTTCGACCCTCAACTGTCTTTTCTCCCCCACATTCAAGCCATGACCCGCTCTGCCTTCCCTCACCTCCGTAACATCGCCCGAATCCGCCACTACCTCACCCCTTAGGCCACTGAAACTCTTGTTCATGCCTTCATCACCTCCAGGCTCGACTATGCAAATGTCCTGCTTGTCGGCCTTCCCAAGTCCTCCCTCCATAGGCTGCAGATAATCCAGAACTCTGCAGCCCATGTCCTCTCCCGCACCAAACTCCGTGACCCCATCTCCCCCACTCTCGCCCGACTCCATTGGCTCCCTATCCTTCAGAGGATCCAGTTCAAGATCCTGGTCCTCACCTACAAAGCCCTCCATGGTCTCGCCCCACCCTACCTCTGCGACCTCCTAACCCCCTACCAACCAGCCCATTCCCTCCGCTCAGCCGTCTCTGGCCTGCTCCACGTCCCCCGACCCACCCGCCCCACCATTGGCGCGAGAGCCTTCAGCCACTCTGCCCCCAAACTCTGGAATTCCATCCCCCAGTCACTCCGCCTCACCCCCTCCTTAGCCTCCTTCAAGTTCCGCCTCAAGACCCTCC